TTGTCATTTTGTAAATATTCTGAGACTGGATCATTCACTATACTTCTTCCTAGAGTTGCAACATCTTAATAATTGAGATATGTGTATAATCTAGCTGGGTTTGAACATTATGAGTTACATAAAATTACTGTTGACTTTCTTTTCAGAGTTTTTTTCATTCACTGCTCACAACATCCACACAATTAAGTTGTTATTCATTGGGCACCTACTATAGGCAGGACATTGTTCTCACACTGAGAATTTAGAATGAATTAGACAAAGTCCAGCTCTTGTTGATCAAATGACCAAATCTATTAAGCTCACAATTTTCACTGAACTATGGCTTTCCTTCAAGACCTTAAAGTATATTCTTTGTGTCATCTCCTTTATCAGATGTCTTAGTAATCGAATCTTCATCCAACTCTGATATTAAGTTGCTCAATCTGTTTCCATCCCTAACGGACCTCCCAACACACAGTTTTAGTCACACATTTATGATCTGTGCTTTTATGTTAACACATTCTGTGGCCCTGAGGCTTAGATAATCAGGGACATCAGGGACCCATGGCATTTAGTATATTTGCTGTGAGCTCTGATGACTTCTCCCATTTTTATTTTGCAACAAGTTAAGAACTTTAAGCTTATGTTGCAGGGCTGTTAGTATTCTAGATATTCCTGTATGATGGTGCATAGACTCTGATAAAGCAATAAGCCAGTCACTCCTCTTCTACCCTAAATGACCCATCTGAACCCTGTCGCTCCCCCTCTTCATGGAGGAACGACACAGGACCCTGCGCTGTTCTTTCGTCTGCTCGGCCCTCCCCGGGTTTGCTGCTGGTTCTTCCCGGGTTGGCTACTGTCCCTTCCACCTCCGTGGAAGGGCGGTTCCCCCTGGCCACTTTCCCCACTTCCGCAGGGGAGCGGCACACCGCCAGCCGGCTCTCTCGGGGGCTGCACAGGTGTTCCCTCAGATGTTCCCCTTAGATGTTCCTGGTGCATGCCGTCTCTCTCCTCCTTTATAGTCCTCCTCCGCCAATCCCAATTCGGCTGCCCACACGCCGAGTACGCTGCTCTCCTCCAATCAGGAGCAAGTCCTACAGTTTATTGGCTGAACTGGAGGCAGCTGTGTAGAAGCTGTTTTCTCCCTTCTCAGCGCCATATTGTGGGAGAGCAGATGCATAGAATAAGTCTTAATTCCAGTAACTTAGTCTAGTCCGGGTTGCTCCCCACAGATCCCCCTTTCTTTTTATTTTTTGGCGTTGATACGCGCCTGTCTTCGGTGTCCCGCGGCACACACTCTGCTCTACTTGCTAGAGTTGCCCGCAGGTTCTTACAAGCCCTATAAATCAGGCAAACCGAATCCGGGTCCTCTCTTCGCCATGTTGTGAGGAGGTTTTTAGGCGCTGATGCGTGCCTGTTTTCGGTGACCTGCGGCTCATACTCTGGTCGAGCTGCCTGCTGGTGCTTACCGCCTTACTAATCAGGCAGACCGAATCCAAGCTCTCTCATTGCTGTGTTGTGGGGAGGCCTTATTGATGTTAATTCGTGCCTGTCTTCGGTGACCTGCGGCGCGTAAGCTGCTAGCCGCCCGCAGGTGCTCACCGCCTTCCTAATCAGGCAGACCGAATCCAAGCTCTCTCATTGCTGTGTTGTGGGGAGGCCTTTCTATTTCTCTATTTCTCTATCTCCGGGCATTCCTATTTCTCCCATTTTACTTCTATCTTCCAGCATTCCTATTTCTCTCATTTTACTTCTAAAACTTCTGTTTCTCTTATCCCCGCGGCTTCCCGGCGCCCGCCCCGAGGCTGCTTCTCGGCAGCTTTCCGGCTCTGAGCCGCTTCAGCCCGCGCCTCTCTCATCTGCGCGGCTTCGCACTAGCCCAGCGTTCCCTATCTACTTGAGCCCCGCACGCTCTGTCTGCGCGCGGCAGCCTCCGCGAGTCACACAGCGTAGCTTACGTCTCCGCCACTAGCATTCAATCTAAGTTCCCCGGGCTAACCTGGCGAATTCAACCCAGCTCACGTCTCCGCCCCACGATTTGGCTTCCCGTCCTTTGCTCCCCGGGCTAATCAGACAGATCCCAACCGGGCTTACGTTTCCGCTTCTGGTTTTAACTTTTCGCCCCCTATTCCCGGGCTAACTTGAGAATTCCAAAGTGGCTTTCGTTTCCGCCTCGGCCTGCCCCCCGCGGCTTCAATTTCCCTAACATTTTTCTCTACCCGGTATATTTCCCCAAGCTTTCCTCCAACAATACTCCTCCCTCATTTCTCCTGGCCTCTCCCCACAGTCCACATCCGAGTCTGTTTGTTCTAGCTTTCACTTTCGCTTTCGACCTTAGAGATTTCTCCCAGCTTCCCCCCGTAGTCCGTATCTGAGTCTATGCCTAGGCTTTCAATAGCTCCTTCCGGCACCTTTTTCGTCCGGCTTTTCCCTAGGCTGTTTGCTAGTCTCTTTCTCCGATATTTTCCACTTCTTCCCGTTTCTTCCCTCCTAAGTTTCATATCCGTCCTAAGTTTCCTATCCGTCCTAGGTTTCCTGTCCGAGTCACGGCACCATTATGTCGCTCCCCCTCTTCATGGAGGAACGACACAGGACCCTGCGCTGTTCTTTCGTCTGCTCGGCCCTCCCCGGGTTTGCTGCTGGTTCTTCCCGGGTTGGCTACTGTCCCTTCCACCTCCGTGGAAGGGCGGTTCCCCCTGGCCACTTTCCCCACTTCCGCAGGGGAGCGGCACACCGCCAGCCGGCTCTCTCGGGGGCTGCACAGGTGTTCCCTCAGATGTTCCCCTTAGATGTTCCTGGTGCATGCCGTCTCTCTCCTCCTTTATAGTCCTCCTCCGCCAATCCCAACTCGGCTGCCCACACGCCGAGTACGCTGCTCTCCTCCAATCAGGAGCAAGTCCTACAGTTTATTGGCTGAACTGGAGGCAGCTGTGTAGAAGCTGTTTTCTTCTCTCCCAGCGCCATATTGTGGGAGAGCAGATGCATAGAATAAGTCTTAATTCCAGTAACTTAGTCTAGTCCGGGTTGCTCCCCACAAACCCAATTCCAGGGATCCAGGTGCAGCTATCTTGGGAGTTATTGGGAGGAAAGGGGCCAAGCCAGGGCTCTCTATTAAAAGGCACCATCTAAAAGGCAACTAGAGACCACAGCCACTTCCAGCCCAAATACAGTTTGAGCTGAACTTAGGCGTGATCCTGGAACCTGTATAAAAGCCAAGAACTAGGCGCCGAGTTCTAGTCCCGGTTGCTCCTCTTCCAGTCCAGTTCTCTGCTGTGGCCCGGGAAGGCAGTGGAGGATGGCCCAAGTGCTTGGGCCCTGCACCCGCGTGGGAGACCAGGAAGAAGCACCTGGCTCCTGCCTTCAGATAGGCGCAGTGCTGGCTGTAGCGGCCATTTGGGGAATGAACCAACGGAAGGAAGACCTGTCTCTCTCTCTCACTGTCTATAACTCTGTCAAAAAAAAAAAGCCAAGAACTTCCCAGAGATCCCAGGACTCCCAGGATTTGCTCATGGTCCTGCTTCTCTCCTTTGGGTAGTCCCTTTGGCTTATAAAGTACATTGTGCTGTCCAAACTGTTTTCACTAACGGTAACTCAAACTTGCCAGTTCTGATATATAAGGAGATGAGATTATCATCCACATTTGGCAGGTGGAGAAACTGAGGCTTGATGAGGTAGTTCAGCCTGCTAATACAATTAGGTGGCAGAGCCTATCCTTAAACTCAGGTCTTTTCTCCTTGTCAGTGATTCAGCCTCTCCTCTCCCGCCAAGGATAAGCAAAGTGACTTCTTTAACTATGCCATGTTCCTTGGGTGGTCTTCTGTCTCAACTCTCAAGGGAGCTTAAGAAAACATCCCGGAGGCCAGGGGAGTGGAAGAAACAGAATGAAAGGACAAAAAGCAAGCAGTTGAATGCTGTATATGTTTAAAAACCCAAGTTATGTGAGAGACCTTTTGAAAAGTTGATACAAAATAATAAAGTTAGAAGAAGTCCGTTGACATCAGTTCATAAAGTGAGGGCAAGAGGACCAGCAGCAGGACAAGTCAATGGCAAGACCGATGACAATGGGAGCAGAGTGGGGACTGCCCTCACCCCAAGGCCCAAGGCCGGAGACCTAAAACCAGGAAGTATCAGAGGACTTGGGGCCAGAGGCCTCAAACAACTTTGGTGAAAGCAGGGAGAATTCAAGAACAGCTCCGGAACCCTGCAGAGGCAGGGAAGGGGGTTGACATCCAGCCATGTCACTGGGGGCTAAGTATGTTCATCATTACACCTGTTTATGATCATACTGCTCCAGGGTGGTCTGGCCTGAGAAACTTGGGTTACACAGACTTGATAAGCACCCAGCTTCTAATCTCCAGAAATCTGCACTAGAGTGGGGAGAGAAACACAAACACAGCTAGTTACACAACTGTGTGATAGATTGTGTGTCTGTGCAAGATACTATGAGGGGAACCCATTTTTAAGTTACTTTTGATAAATCACACTGCTAATACTACTGAATTCCCACTGTTATACCAAAATTTCAGCGAAGTCTGTAACAGCAAAAATTATATGTAGGAGTCCTTTGGGAGAAAAACTGAGGGAAAAAGGCTTGTTTATGCCCTGTTCCCCGGTAGCCGGGAAACAGAAAAGAATCATATTGTCTTGAGAACTGAGATGTGAATGAGACTTAGAGTTGAGCAAGGGACAAAACGTGGAGCCAGGGGCCATCAGAAGTGGCACATGCCCTCAGTGATGTCAAGAGCATCGGTGGGCGTCTCTCCATCATGGGATGAGGGTAAGTCTAGTTCAGTTTCATTTCAAAGCACAGGGTGATTGCCAGGTGATTCTTGGGTCACACTCACTTAAGCTAGTTTATACTCTTAAGGTAGTTTATACTTCTCCCTTAGTTTTCCAAAGCTGAGGTTACGTTTTGCTGTGTTCATGTCTCTCTTTGCACCTCCCACCTCTAAATTCCTTCCAATCTCTATTTTTTTCTTTAGCATACAATGTATATTGGAAGCATATTAAAGGACACAATGTTTTATGACTTGAATAATGGTGTTTATTTCCATTAACTACACTTAAATATGGAACATCAGACAGTAGTTCACTAACTAGGAAACTACAAGCTGGACAGAAAGTCCGTGTGGCTCATACAAATCAAACTCTGCATAAGAATGAGACTCGTTCACAAGAGAGCTGCAATTAGCAGACACTCAGAGATTGTGCGGTTTGCCTCGTGAGCTCTGGCACCTGTCATTCCCTGACAAGCCAATCTTGCTCACTCAATCAAAGAAGGGTTCTTTAGGCCCCCTCCACTCCATTACTTTGTGTGCAGAGACATCTGCAGTGAGAAGACCAATCTTCCACTCGACACCCGCTAAAGACATCTGGAGAGCACTATGTAAAATAGATTTTTTTTCCCCTAACACCTGGGGAAACAATGGCAGCAGCTCAGCAAAGCAGTGTGCTGTTTAAAATGACAGCGCGGGGACCTGGAATCAGAGTTGCATCAGGGATTTTCTTGGCTTTGGAGTCCCCGGACAGCCCTTTTCTCCTTTGGAAAGCGGCAATGCCTTGCACACGCGTGTTTTCCACTTGCACATGTTCTGGTGTGAAAGGGGCATCTGTCCTCACAGCTGTTGCAAAAGAAAAGGAGGATGACAGTTCAGAATCGAGGGCTGAATCCAGAGGAGTGACTGTTCTCATCTGATTAAATTTTCCTAGGAATTTTTCCGGATATGTTTTTAAAATGTCCATATAAAATCCTGAATTGTTATCTCACGTGGATTTGAAATCTCTTAAAAACCCAATCGTAACCTCTGAGGGTTCTATTCATCAACAAACTTCCTGCTATATAAATCCAATGGCATCTTCTTCATCAAGGAAGAATACACAAATACATGTGAACATAGACCTAGACAGCAGAATGCTGATCTGAAAATGCCCCTCCCCAAAATAATTATTTAAATCTCATCAGTTTAGGTTTTGCCTAAGAGCTATAATAGCAGGTAGGAGTTTCTGAATTTTTAATCATCATTCTATATACTCTCACTTATCTGTTTTACTATCCCAAAGAGGCCGGAGCACTGAGGAAAAAATAGCTAAATAATGAATCTCACTGATCAGCATGGCATTTCCGTTAAATGTCAACGAGCCAAGTTCTAGGGAAAGCGAGACAGCCACTCGCCTGCAGGTGTCTGGGTGAAATCTCTTGTGCTTCTGGCAGCAGCTCTCCAGACTCTCTTTGCACTCAAAGCAGCTGCAGTTTTCCGGGTGCTGGATGAGGTCTCTGGGACACAGGGTCTTACAGACGCACTCACAACGCTCTTCATCGAACTGCATGTGTGGCCCGCAGAGAGCAGATTCCTGGAGAGGAGAGTGATCTAAATGGAAACCAAAACGTGCTGTTACCCAGATAGCCATGGCCTAGACGATATGCTCGCTGATGCTGACTGGAGATTCTACATCAAGCTAGAATAATAGGGATTCATTCAATCTTTCCAATAATTTTTGCCCCTATTTTTTTTCATGGAGTGAAAGAGATTCACCTCTGACTTTACAGTACAAACACAGAATTTGTTTGGTTTTCTTAGGTTTCTGATTTTGAAAAGTCACAAGCTGAATATTTTGGATAGTTTTTTAAGAGATTTTTCAGGATGCTAACTTGTTGAAAATGCAAAATTCCTGGGGCCAGCCCTGTGGCACAGTGGGTTAACGCCCTGGCCTGAAGCGCCAGTATCCCATATGGGCACCGGTTCTAGTCCTGGCTGCTCCTCTTCCAGTCCAGCTCTCTGCTATGGCCTGGGAAAGCAGTGGAAGATGGCCCAAGTTCTTGGGCCCCTGCATCCACATGGGAGACCTGGAGGAAGCTCCTGGCTCCTGGCTTCGGATCGGCGCAGCTCCGACTGTTGCGGCCATCCTGGGGGGTGAACCAGAGGATGGAAGACTCTCTCTCTCTCTTTCTCTCTGCCTCTCTGTAACTCTGTCTTTCAAATAAATCTTAAAAAAAAAAAAAGAAAAATGCAAACCTCCACTACCAAGTGTTAATAAAATACAGGATATCTAAGGATTAGGAGTCTAGTCCTCTCATTTTTTAGCAGATTAAAAGGAGGAAGCAACAGAAGCAATGGTGTTGCAGAATACATCTCAGACCCAGGGCGGCAGCAGAAGACTGAGGTAGTTGGGTCCCTGTCACCCATGTGGGTGACCCAGACTGAGTTCTGAGCTTATGGCTTTTGCCTGGCCTACCCCTGGTAGTTATGGGCATTCGGGGCATGGACCAGCAGATGGAAGTTCCCTGTCTCTGTGTCTGTGTCTCTCTTCTTTTCAAATAAATACATTTTTAAAACATGCAACAATGACAATGAACTTTGATTCCACAGACATCTACTAGAAGATACTTTCCCCTCAAGTGGAGAGTCTGAGAGGTTTTTGACACACCTAGCTCACAGAGACCTCTTCCAGAAGGTATACAAAACAATTGGATAGCTACAACTGCATGCCCAATTCTGGTGAGCAAATTAAAACTCAGTGAAAAAAAAAAGGCGGGGGGGAACAGGAACTTTGGAAGTCCTTGATTATGCTGCCATGTTTAGTTCCCCTCCCAGACCTGTCTGTCTCCCAGTCTGCCTGACTTAGGGAACGGCAGCACTAGCCGCCTAGACTCGCCCGCTGTATTAACTCTGATCACCGTGGCCACTGCATTGCGCTTCCTGGAGCTGGAGTTTGTTCCTTCCAGCACCACTGCTACGCCACAACTCAGCCAGTGCCTGGTACTGCTGTAGATGGCTGTCACTCTGCTCACCACTGCAAGTTTGAGGACTCCCATCTATTCCCCACACGATTTCCAGCTGCAGACCTAACGTCACTCACCTACTTTAAGCGCTGTAACTGTCCCTTCTCGCAATAAAAGCAATCTTGCCACCAGCATGTGCAAGACTCTCATGAGCTGGACTCAGTGACCTGCCAGGCTCCTCTCCCAGCCTCCCTTGCCTGTGTCTCCTATCCTATTTCCCATTCGTACCCACTCACAACACTTTGTTTCCCTAATAGGCCAGGGCATCTCAACACGCGCCACTGACCTTGGCCTTCTTTTGGTCAGTCATCCTTTTCTCCCAAATCTTTCCCACCCTCTCAAGTTCACCTAAGTGCCCATGGGTTACATCTCTCTGTTATGCCCCCGTTTCCTCCCCATTAAGTAAAACAGCCTGAAGGGTAGGAACTGGGTCTTGTTGCTCTAGCATAAAACAGACACTCAATACATATTTGTTGGATTTATTTGATATAATAAAGGGGTCCTGAAGCAGGCTGGTGTGTGGAGACTCGAAGACATTGGGTTAAACTGTGCATGTGATGAAACATAACGACAGCTCCATATCAAAATTCAGTCTCTTACTTTTAACTGCTCCATAACTGGTGATGCCTGAAGAATTCTGTGGACTGAGTGCTAGAAGGCTAGACCTTGGGAGACACCATTCTGAATTTTGTGAAGAGGAAAGAGGTGAGCTGAGTAAGCCATGCACCGGTGAGGCAGATGAGACTAGGTTGTTAAAGGACAGTTGAGGGGCCGGCGCTGTGGCACAGCGGATTAAAGCCCCAGCCTACAGCACCGGCATCCCATATGGGCACCAGCTGGAGTCCCAGCTGCTCCACTTCTGATCCAACTCCCTGCTAATGTGCCTGGATACAAAGCAGAGGATGGCCCACATCAGGCCCCTGCATCCACACAGGAGACCTGGAAGAATGGCTTCGTATTGGTTCAGCTCCAGCTGTTTCGGCCATTTGAGGAGTGAACCAGCAGATGGAAGATGGAAATTGCCCCCCCCCACCTCTGTCTTTCAAATAAAGTAAATCTTAAAAAAAGCATAGTTGAGAAATGCTTAAAATATTTACACTGACCACTAGGTGGCAGCAGAGATTCACTCAGCATGCTTCAGACAGGATGCCCCCTGGTACAGCTCCTGGCAGGGTGAGGTGAGGGTGGGGGCTCAGAGAAACACAGAATCCAAGGTGCCTGTTGAGCTTCAGCATGCTAGTGGCAGAGGCTATCCTCACATCCTTTAAAAGGAACAGAGACTGGATGCAGGCGAACTGGACGAGGCAGCGAGTAGCCGAGGGTGAGACCCCGAAGTGTTAGATGTTGATTTCCACCCCAGGGAGGTTGAGGACACGTTACCCACATGATCCGTCTTCAGCTTTGTTCTATTATCATTTTTATCAATAGAATGATAGGATTTTTCAAAATAGACTCTTGAAATTGTGACTCTTGAGAAAGGAAGAGATGGACCTATTAAATACTTGAAAATACAGACCACTTCAATTTTTTCTGTTTTGTATTGTGTGTGTTTCAACAGTTTATAACAAGATTTGAATCTAACAAGATCCAATTAAATTGGACTTAGATTCGCTAACCCAAATGCATTCATCTGGGAAAGAGAAGTTGTCATAGAAAAGACAATTGGGTCTACAGCCACATACATGAGAGTGATTGCTATTGAACAGTAAGCTCAGTACATGCCATTAGTTTGTCAGGGCCCCAGGAGAAATGAATGTGAACTTAGCCCGGTTAGGGAGTTCTAGGAGATGAAAATCAGGAGTGACCATCACCCAGTCTACCTGTTCTTTTGCAAAAATGTTGCCAGTTTCCTTCCCTGCCTGGGTCAACCCTTGCTCTTCTAGGCTCCTGGGATTGTGTTCAAATGCTAATAGGCACTCTCACTCTCTTGCGTGAACCAGTTGAGTGGTCTCCCTTCCTCCTCAGCATCACAGCTAAGCTCTGGCTCAAAGCTCACCAGATTTTTCTGCTGTGCCTGTGAGCTCCCCGCCCCTACCCACAACCCCCAGTTTCCTCTCACACTAGCCAGCCCCATCTGTGTGAACTAACTGTGTGAACTTGAAGGTTCCCTCATACCCAGGGCTACACTTTCATGAAACACTGAGAGGGAAGCAGAGAGAAAACATTAGGTAGTGGACTGTTGTTTACAGTATCCAAAACAGATTTCTTAGCGTTTAATCCTTACTATCATTGCTTATAGACTGTAGTTTAAAACAAGCAAGGTTCAAATTACACGACCCCTTGTGATTTTTTGTTGTTGTTGTTAGTGGAACTATGTCGAGCTCTATGGGAAATAAGTAAAAACTACATTCATTTTCGCCGTATGTTTGTTCATCACCAAAAGTCAGCGCAGTCTGAGTTAGGAGCAATGATGATAGCTTATCTCGTTTTGTTCCCATCTCCTCCCAGCCCAATAGCCATGCTTTGCTTTTAACTTTCCGTAGTCCCAGAAGTTTTTCCTTATTCCCCATTTCTTTTCCCAAATCACTGACATGTGTTCTGTGTTCACATGATGCAGCTGAAGGAAACTAAGTCCAAAGTCATGTTCCCTGAGACTTTCAAACAAATGAGCTAGTAAAGTATGGTTGGAGTGTTCAGTTCTGAAGTGGCTTTCATTAAAGTTTAAAGTTAGAAGTCAATGCCTTGGCATGCTGTAATCCTGGGCTTTTCTTTGAGTTGGAAAAGCAGAGTGGTGCATTCTACAAGATTATAGCACAAAGGGCCTAGAATCGGATCCCTTCTGTTACCTACCATAGGACCTACTATAGGACCTTGAAGAAACCACTAGACATCTTTGTAGGGCCATTTTGTGATTGTAAAAAGGGATAATAGGAGTATATTACAGGGTTGTTGTGAAGATTAAATGAGTTAATACATATAAAAGACCTACAGCATAGCCTGATCAAAGTTAAGTGCTCAATAATGTTCATCGCTATTGTAATTTTTATTATTCCTATTGTTATTTCACAACTGCTATCATTACCTTCTGTTCCAGCAAGTGGATTCTCTTCCTGTAAAACACATTTACACTTGTTGCTATCCCACAGCATGTCAATAGGGCAGAGTTTCTTGAATTGGGAACAGCTACAAAAAGAAAACAAAGAATTAGATTTAAAAGCTGCCAAGTCTAATCATAATTTTGAAACATTAAATACACTTCTGAGCAGAGAACAGTTAAGATTTTTTAAGTTTTTTTTTTTTTAATCTCAGTCAGACAAGAGGACTAAGTTTTGAGACCTACTGTTTTGTATAGCATGGTGATTATAGCTAATAATAATGTATTGTATATCTCAAAATTGCTGAGAGTAAAGTTCAAATATTCTCACCACAAAAAACATGAGAATAGTTAAGATTATAAGGAGTTTAATTCATATTTATGAACTGCATCTTATTAGATAGCAATTCTGTAATTATAAGCTCTTCTGTGGAAACCTTTGGAAAGCAAACTGTAATTCTGGAAAATTATACTCTCTTTAAGAGGGTGAATGTTAAAACTGTGCCAATTATAGCTGTATTAACAGTTTGTTTACCAAACGTAAATATTGCTCTACATAGCTCCTAAGAGTACTGTGGTTAAAATGGAGATAAAAACACCGTTCAGGACAAAGGGAGCATGTTGAGGATGGGTGGTCCTCTCCTATGACCTTTTTAGCTGCTTGAGAGAGGTAGTGGTGTCCTTTGGCTCAGGGTTAATAAATGCATAAGGCCAGCTAACGGTTTCATTTGCCACTCAAACCATTTACCACTCTACAGCTGCAAAAATAAGTATCTGACATAATTATTTAATCTCTTCGTTCAATTTTCCCTTCATTTGTTTCTCCATAATTAAATTCCGTTTTTCCAGATCAATGGAAATGGTCCCAGAACACTTCAGAGTGCCGTAATTTCTTATATTCACAAAATTAGACAAGAAAATTTCAAAGTCAAATGAATTTTAATTCACTTCAATTTAAAATAAGAACTTCCCATTGGATAATCTTAAGGGGAAAGACTAAAAAGTTGCAAAAGTCATATAGGGATAATTTTGCCACTTCCCAAAGCTCCAGGAATTCTTTCATTCCCCTCATTTCAGGACTTAAACATACAAACATTTAATGCTTGTTCTGGAGTGAGGGGACATTTGTCACATTTATGGCTGGAGTACTTTTCCAACTACTTTAAATATGCATATGAAGAACAAAGATGCCTACATACACATGCTGAGTTTATAACCATTGAGCTTTTGAGTCCTAGCACAATATACATCTAATACCTAATAAAATAATATTTTCTGGGTTGGTGCTGTGGTGTAGCAGGTTAACCCCCTGCCAGCATCCTATATAGGTGCCAATTCAAGACCCAGCTGCTCCACTTCTGATCCAGCTCCCTGCTAAAGCGCCTGGGAAAGCAGAAGAAGGTGGCCCAAATGCTTGGGCCCCTGCACTCAAGTGGGAGATGTGGAAGAAGCTCTTGGCTCCTTACTTCAGCCTGGTCCAGCCCTGGCTGTTGCAGCCATTTGGGGAGTGAAGCAGCAAATGGACGATTTTCTCTTTTTTCTTTCTCTCTCTCTCTCTCTCTCTCTCTCCTTATCTCTTTGTATCTCTGCCTTTCAAATAAATAAAATAAATCTTTAAAAAAATAATATTTGCCAAATGGCAATTACCAGTAAATTTGGATTAGGAGCTAAAAGACGAAAAGCTTGAAGAGAAAGCAATGACTATAACTAACCAAGCATCTTCCACACACAGCTTTGGCCAAGGCAAAAACCAGCCCAAGCATTGCTTACCGGTCTTCTTCTGTGGTTTGGAGGGATCTTCTGATAATTGAGTATGGATGCCGAGGGGCCGTCGGCAAGCACTTACAACCTGTGTGGTTGGCAACTTTAACAGGCACTAACTCAGGTACTGATGTCAAAGGCACCGATATCTCAAAGAGCTACAGCAGGGAAAATAACCACAGGACATGTTATTTTATTTTACATTTTGCTTTGTACGAATGTCTGCACTCTGCATTTTTGCCTTTGTCATTTATGGTAGTGACGTTAGCAAAGTTTCTCGTTCAGAGTGAACTAATAATGGTCAGGGCCAAAAGACTGCTGGGCTGGGAGTTGGGAGACAAGCTTTACAAAGGGTCTAAACTTGGTCTAAATTTTAACTTCCTGGCATCACTGGTATCCTTGTAAAATGGGACTGTTGGTTCCTGCTCCTACATCAAATTTGAACGTAAACTGTAAGGATTAAATGAGATTAAAACTATGAAGTTTCTTTGAGATCTTGATGGATTAGACTATTATTCAAACTATTTACTTATCCCTTGCCGTTTCACCTCTATTGAAGAAAGGCACTTTCTTGTCTGTTGACTTTGGACTTGGCCATGTCATTTGCCTTGGCCAGTGAGGTGTTAGCAGACATGACACAAGCACAAACTTGAATTATGAGTGCTTTGTAGGCCATGTTTTCTCTTGCTTATGCTGTAGTCATGAGAAGACCATGAACTGGCAGGCTCACTGGTCCAAGGCCTGAGAAAAACAGGAAGACCTGGACTCACACTGCAGCTTGGAGTCAAGTCCAGCTGAGCTCACCCTAAACTAACTGAACTTCAGATACATGAATGAAAATAATGCACTAGTGTTTGAAGCCACTGAGTTTTCAGGTGTTTGTTATGTAGCACTGTATATTAATAGCAGACTGATACAAGGTCATCGTGCCCACACAAATCATCGTCACTAACAACTCATATGCCATTCTTTCAATGCTTCTATATGCGAAGTCTGGTTGTAAGCACTTTTATATTAATTCATTTAGGCCTTACAACATGATAAGATGGAGTAATTTTTTTTTAATCACCTTCAGCCCACAGATGAAGAAACAGATGTATTGAGACATTGTATAACTTTCTAGAGTGGTTCTATGATGTGTGGCGATTTTGAATTTGATCTCAACACATTATCAATTCAGCTTCCATTCCATGTAGTCCTTACTACACGTAGAGTACTCAGTTACTCGCTTTGTTTCTAGTTTACAAGATAGTCCATAACTTTGGGTTGACAGGTAGGTTCTTTTTTAACCACTATTAAAATGTTCTAATGTACATGTTTGGAAAGAAAAACTGCAATACACTAACACTTAAGTACATTCTTTAAAACTAATCATCTGTTGAGTGCAGTAGTCAAAATATTCAACTATTAAGTCGAAACAATCTATTAGGGTTCTGTTTATGCCAACTCCTCCATATGTGAAGGAACTTCCATGAGTCTAAGTCAGGGAGTGTTTTGAGAGCCTTTCCTTCACATAAACTTCAACTTCATGTCCTTTTGCAGTTCTTCAGCTACCCTCTAGGGAATAACATGATCATGAACTAACCCCTCTTACGTTATGCAAGCTTTGTTTCTACTAACAGTTGATGCTTAGCCACACTTATGTCATTGTTTTTGCTAACTGTCAAATAGTAGAGGCCAGAATTCTCACAACTCCCAAGATTCTCTAAAAGGATTTACCAAAGAAAATTCTCCAGTGTGAAGGATAGTGTAGAGGGTAAGAGGAATGAAATTAAGGATAAGTTAACTTATTGACACAACCAACTGACATTAAGAAAATTACCTAAGATGGATATATTCTATGCTTATATAATTGTACTTTTTTTCACAATCACAAGGAGAATAATAGAGGCCGAGGGGCTAAATGAATAGATCAATGACTGAGGAATTTGTAACATAGGACCAAAAGAAATGCTGCTTGATTTACAGCTTTTTATTACATCTTTTCTGAGTTTATTACTACTGCTCCCATATGCAATACTTATTACGTTGTACAACAACGTGGCTGCCATAGAAAGGAAAACTACACTACTGAGAATAAAGGATTTTATAAAATATAGAGAGCAGACTATTTATATTTATGTATTCTACTTATTTGAAAGGGAGGGAAGGGAGGAGAGAGGGGGAGAGCGAGCAAGCGAGCGAGCTCTCATCTGCTGTTTCTATCCCCTAAATCGCACAACAGCCAGGACTGGGCCAAGCAGGAACTGGGAGCTGGCAACTCCATCCAGATCTCCCACATGGGTGGCAGGGACCCAACTGTTTAGCCAGGATGTACATTAGCAGGAAGCTGCACTGGAAACCAGAAGAGCCGAGACTTGAACCCAGGCACTCCAATATTGGATGTGGCCATCTCAACTGGCATCTTAGCCACTGAGCCAGATGGCCGCCCCCAGAATTATTTTCAAAGGTTTTTTTGTGCTGGATATTCTCCCTTTGCCCTTCCAGAGACACCATCATCAATTTCGCTGCCCGCCAGGCCCTGTGCTCCAGGTCCTTGACTGCATCTAACATTCCTCTTGCCTCTCTCAGCCCCTGCCCCCACTCTGTGCAGGACTCAGGGCCGCCAGGGGCCCTTGAGACGCTCTCCTCCACTCTCCCTCTGAGTTCCTGAGACTGCTCCCTTCTCTGGCCTCTTCAGCACACAGGTGGGGACAGCCCCTCCCTTTCTGCTAGCCCCAGGTGCTCCACCAGCCCATCCCCTTCCTCCAGCCTCCACATCCTACACGGAAATCTCACTCATAGAACCTAACAGATCTACGAGACAGTGCAGCTATTTTCATTCCTTTCACCATCCTGTTCTAGTAACTTCCATGTGGTTGTCTGATTCTCCCCACTGTAGCACCAGAGAGACAGTCACTGATAAGATGGACTTCGGGCTCTGGAGTCATCCCATAGCCTGGTTGAGTCCCAGCTCTGCCATTTGCCAGCTGTGAAACTTTGGATGAGCCAGTTACCTCTCTGAACCTGTTTGCTCTTCTCCAAAAGGAAGAGAACATATAACGTTTGCTCGTTTCAGGGAATAAGTGAGATTTCGCAGGTCAAGCATTTGGCACTCGCTGCCGCCGTCCTACCTGTTTGGAGACGTACGAGGTGCTCGTGTTCATACAGATGAGGCTCTCCTCGTTGCAGCAGCCGCCGCAGCGGAACACATTGACACAGGGCGGCTTGAAGAACGTGTCGGTGCTCTTCCCCAGCTCGCTGGCCACCTCCACGCACGTCTCTCGCGGGCTGCACTGGGTTCTTTGCCACTCCTCATCTATGACTACAGAGAAGAAGCTCCTTGCGGCCCACACACCAAATGGCCCGTACAGGCCATCGTGCGCCAGGGTTAGGCTGAACAGTCATGTGCCCGTTTCCACTGCTTGTTTATTTTACTAGATGGATATTTTTGTCAGTCCTTAACCGAAGATTGTGTGCAGAAAGATCAAAACTACAACCTGTCTCTCCCTATCTGTACCATACCTTTGTGGCATGCAAGCCTTTTATTCCCCTCTGGGGACAAACATCACGTGCTGTGCACCAGGGACAACTGGAGAAGCTGGCTAAAGTGAAAGGAGGCCTGGGAGGAAAGCACCTGGAAGCCTTTTTGATCACGTGACTTACAGGACACAGCTGGGTAGCATTTCGTCTGCTTGAAGCCAGCTGTGGCTCGCTTTCTGTACCATCCAGACATGTCTTTCTGTTAGCTGCTCAAGTAACTACAGTAGGCCTGAACCCTGGGCAACACAGGAATGGACGTTTAAGTGGAACGAGTCTTGACTCAAGTCAGAGTTGTCTGTCTGCAAGGGCGTGCCATTCACTTTAATGGAAGGACCAATCCTCTGGTCCTAGCTAATTTGGGGGAAACAAGAAACAGAACCAAGCCTCTGGGACTAAAAAGAAACTTAGACACTTCATTCCAAAAGCAGCACTCACTTTTCTGTTTTAAATAAGATTTTGACACTTTGATGCTTCATGTGTATAGCCTTTCTCCAGCTGTTTGGGGGCGGGGGGAAGATTCAAATTTCATGATAAAGTGAAAACTGAACTTGCTTCTGGCTTGCCCTGGAACTGTAAAACTTACTATATGTCAGGGGCTGGTGGAGAAACTGACCCCCAATAAAATCCACCCTCTGGTAGTCACACCCTCCCCCTTGTGTGAGGGCTGGACCTAGGTGTTCCATTCTTATGAAGAGAATGCAGAAAAAGTGATGGACACCACTGCTGTGATTAGGTGAAAAAGACTTCAGTCCTTATCCCGTGCTGGCTCCTTGTTCTCCCGAACCCTTCTCCACTTGCGGAGTCTGCATGGCCCGGGACTGATGACGGCCTCTGGCCAACAGCCAGCAAGGACCCGGATCATCCGTCCAACTCTCTCTGGGGAATGAGCCCTGCAAACAACCGCTAAGTGAACTTGGAAGCACATCCTGCCCCAGTTTGAGCCTTGAGCCGCCTGCAGCCCAAGCCACCACCTCCACCGCAGCCTCTGGAGAGATGCTGCCGCAGACACAGCCAACTAGGCCGTGCTTGCATTTCTGATCCACAGAGAGTGTGAGATAAAACAATGTTGAAAAACAGCTAAGTTTGAGGATAACATGCTACGCGGCAACAGATAAACCCTTCTTCATCTTGACCTCACCTAGCCTCTTCCCAGATTACCCTGCACTGCCCTATCTGGAAACAGGTGTCCAGCGGAAGGGACAGGTAGGGCCTCTCCTCCCAGCACGCAGACAGGATACGACCGCTGGCGATCTGGCTCGAGGCCCTACGTGATTCCTGCAAGTGTCACTTCCATGTCCTTCTTTCCTCTTCCACCCCTTAATCCCAGCTGTCCTCGTATGTTGCTTCTCCAGTCACCAGAGACAGGAAGTACAAGATGCTGGGCTGTTGAGGGCAGCGAGCTACACAACTCACCTACGCTTGGAGATCGTTTCCCCACTATAACAGTGATTGTGAGAATCCCTTTGAAATATTCTGATGTGAATATTTATCCCAAGAGCTTTGAAGGCTGCAAATATGAGAAATCGCTCAACTGAGTATTAATATGGGTATTATTTAACTCACTGTTATAAATCATGGATCCTTGAAAAAACAAGTTCTCAACTTATGAAAATAGTCCCTGTTTAAAAGTCTACTGAAATGCTGCTTTTCGTTCGCTTTTTCTCGCTTTATAAAATTCAGTTCTGACAGTTTGAGAAGGTTTTAATCGGAAGTGTATGCGACTATGTCCAAGGCTCCATAGCCCCAGCGCTCTTAACTGCTGCACAGCAGTACAGCTCTGCCTCAGGGAATGCTCCCGCCTCCATAAGAAACAGTTGATAACAAATGCTGATTCGCCTAACACATCGCTTTGATTCTTTACCACTTCATAGTAACTGATTTAGAGGAGCCCTCCTGTAATGAGGAGACAAATTTTAGAATTTTCCAACTGCCTAATTCTTTTCTGATCCCTTGCTGACTTCTTAGAATCTCCTAGCCTTGGACTTATGCTGCTGCTTGTCTTCCCAGAGATCCACAGGCTCATCTTTGGCAGGTAATCTGGTTATGGCCTTTGATCTTCAGATGAGGTGCAGATCCCTTCGTTTTCATGAAGTGCATGCTAATTCAGTACACAGAAACAACTTGGCTAAAGTGGCTTTGAGCCCATGGTTTCCACCATTTCAACTCACTTAGCCACACAGTCGTACACGTGGAGAAAACATCCTCCTCCCACTCATGCTCACGTCCTTGCCAAGGGATTTCCCCATCTCTGCACATCCTTCCCCACAGCACAACGGTGGCATGCAGCATCTTTTTACAAATGAAGACCAAAAGCAAAACAATTCTAGGTAGAAAGAAAATAATCTTGGCTTAATGGTCAATTCAAATTATGTGATAAACAGTTACCAGCTTGTTGTGTTAATCAAATCAAAATGCTAGATCCACAACACCACGGTAGCTGCCTGTGCTGTTTTCACATGTCATCCAAAGGTTCATCTGAGGTCACACAGCTTTATTTTACAAGCAGTTCATTCATTTCATATGGAACAGTACCTACATCCAGTGATTTCCTTATAAAGAACCTCTGCACCTTACTAGGGAAAATAGCACTTCCTTTCAGATAGATTAATTTTTTGGCCAAAGAAATGATTCTTTTGTTTCAAGAATTTTCTCTCTCAGTTCCTCTCCCCGAACTACCGGTACCTCTTATTATGACCCAGCTTCAATTTCTACTATTACTTTTATGAAGGATCCTAGAGCTTTGAAGAAACAAAAAAGTTATGCCTAACCTATCTGATCTTGCCTACATGTACAAGCCAGAATGCTCTTTGTTGCTGAATACCCAGGTTGTTTTATTTTTTATTTGAACCCAGTGCATTTTTTTCTTGTTAACAGTGGTCTTTCTGCATTTTCTCCCTCACATTCCTGAATTAAATTTATTTCTATATTTTAAAGTGTTCTTTTGTGTTAGTTTTTTTTTTTAATGTGAAAATCATATTGGATCTATTTCTCTACTGACTAATCATCAAAAAAAAAAAATTTCAGGACTCATCACTAATACCAAAGCTATAAAATCAGAGATTCCCTTTTGTTCTCCCTCCTACTGAAACTTTTAGAAGTTGGTACACTTGTCACTCACTGATAAAGACAAGACTGATACAGAACTCGCCTCCGCACCCATACACCTACCTTTTAGTGTTTCAATGTCATAGAACGTCGCTGCGAACCTGGTGGACCGATGAGAGGCTGAGCGAGCGTCCACTCCGCTGAGACTTTTGAGCTTCAGCCGGCACTGCCACAGCTTCCAGTCCTCAGCGTGCGTGATGCGCAGCAGTTCTTCCAAACTAGAAGCAGCCCTAATCTGCTCTTCAGACCGTTCTAACATGGATCGAGATGACCGCTTTAAAAAAATACCAGTTCGAAAGCAAGTCATTAGATTTGTCTTGATCACCTTCATTGCTAAGACTTAAAAGTCTAAATAGATCTGAAAAGAAATTAGATTTTTCAGATGTATGTCAGGTAGGAAGTTGAAAATTAGCCCGTGTGTGTGTGTGAGAGGGGCCTGAAGACCAGCACCTAGTGTGGAAGCTCCAGAAGCCCAGCATCTTGCACTTCAAGTCCTGCTCAGACCCTGATAACCTCCCACATGGTCCCAGCCCTTCCCCCAAAGCTCCCAGGAGAATTCTCTCAGGACCAAATGGGTTACCTGACCTGATAACACGGGGCACTAAAACCTTCTCAGACACCCCAAGGGAAGCCCCTCTGCTCTGCCCGGGGCCAGCACATCTAGGGAGGAATTTGAGAATTTTCACCCAGCAAGCCCCTTCACCAGGGCTCCCCATCCTTTGTCCTGGAGGACAAGGAGGAGGAGGTAAAGAAAAAACCAGGAGTCCAAACAAAACTCCGCCTCTCGCCTCTCGGCTGAGCCGATCGCCTGCCCAGCCGGCCCAGGTGTAATCTCCCCAGTCAACCATGTAACCTCGCTTTCCCCCAGCCCAGCCCGAGTGACTGGGCACTCTCTACCTGTTCTTTCCTTTCTGGTGGATGCCCTATCCCTGATAAATCCTTATTACTTCGCTCTCTGTCTCATGCCTGAATTCTTTGTTGCATGAAGACAAGAACCCACGGCTTTTTCTCCGGTGACATGTACACCAAATGTGCAGGAAAAAGGACATCCAGTATTTCTGATTCACATTCTGCCCACTTACAATTGAATCAAAGAATTTACTTATCCCTCCTGGGTTCTCAGAACACTTACAAGGAATACTGCAGGAATTGAATGGTGGACTGCAAAATGTTATGTCCACATCCTGATCCCCAGAACTCGTGAACATGAGAAAAGGATATGTGCAGATGCAATGAAGTTAGGGACCTTGACATGAGATCATCCAGGATAATGCATGGGGACCCTGAATACAATGACAAGTGTTCCTCCAAGAGCCAGGAGAGGAGAAGCCACAGATTCAGAGGAGACAGGTGCAAGGGCTGCAGGGACAAGCCGGGCATCGCCTGGAGCCACCAGAAGCTCGAGGAGGTGAGGAAGGACGGACTCTCTCCAAAAGCCTTTGGAGGGAGCGGGAGCGCAGCCCTGCTGGAACCTTCACTGCAGATTTCTTCCGTTGTTTGAAGCTCCCAGCTTTGAGGTTATTTGTCACAGCAGCCACAGGAAACGACGACAGATGTTTATCATCCTACCTTGTAGCCAATGACAACTGTTTCATCGCCATTCTTTGAGAAACAGATTCACAAAGGCTTGTGGACCTTATCCCACAGTCACACGACAAAGATCTTGAGACCTTGGTAAACTTGAATTTCTGCTGACTTCGCATGCTCTTTTTTTATTTCTTTTAAAACCTGTTTACTGTTTCAAAAACATGACCTTTTTTCTGATAAAATACGGTTCTGGAGTTTATGCTGAAATTTTCTCTCCACATGGTTGTATAAAGTATCTTGGCTGATACAATGCAACTGTACTGAGTGGATTTGTGAGGGGGAAAGAAAGCTCCATCAAGAGAAGATTTTCAGTATGTAGCCTCTTGATCACAACTGGGGCCTGATTATGTAAACAACAACACATGCCTAAACAGTGAGTTACTATGAAGTCTTCAAAACCAGTGAGGTGGGGCACATGTGTGGACAAGAGGTTAGGTTCCCACTTGTAATGCCTGCATCTCATATTGGAGTGCCTGGATTTGAGACCCAGTTCCACTCCCGATTCGATTCCAGTTTCCAGCCAATGCATACCCTGGGGATGGGAGGCAGCAGGTGACAGCTCTAGTAGCTGGGTCCCTGCTACCCATGTGGGAGATTTGAATTGAGTTCTGGGCTCCTGGCTTCAGCCTGTCTACCCCAGCTGCTGTGGGCATTTGGAGAATGAACCAGCAGATGGGAATGCTCATTAGCTCACGCTCCCTCTCAAATAACAAAAATGTTGTAGAGGTACATCTGAACAGCATGACATGAGCTCGTCCCTAGAATGTGCTGGAAGCAGTAAGGTGATCTGTTTGTGGCTAAGACCTGGGATATTCTCTCTCTGAGCCTGGAGCTCCTGGGCTTTTGTTTTCCTGGGCTGTTGGGATTTGCAGGTTGAGTGCATGTTTGGAGCTGGAGTGAGAGGAGATGGAGGGCCAGTGTGGTTGCAGAGTGGTGCTGAGAGAGGAAGGGGGGGAGAGGGATGTGAATGTCAGCTGCCTGCTACAGGGGGAGTACAGTAGAGCAAAAAGAGATGAACAAGTGGGACTTGCAGAGTCCCGTGATGTACATCATCCTCAGTGACCCCCCACCAGCTGTGGTTACAATGCGCATCGTTCATCAGCATTCATGGAGTAGGGACTTCTGCCCATGTTTTTCTAATGGATACTGAAGAGTTGTTCCAAAGTGCGTGCTCAGAAGAGCAAGTGTGGTCCAAGTCGTGTGTGATTCACTAATGACATGGTCTCTTTTAAATCACACATGAAAATAAACAATGGTTACTCTTCAGAGGTCATCAAACTATAGACTCCCGACCTGATTCAATCTGCCCCCTGCCTGATTTTGTATATAAAGTTGTACTGGAACACAGAAATGGTCATTTGTTTATAAATTATCCATTCCTTACATATGGCTGCTTTCAAGGTACAAGGGCAGAACTGACAAGTTGAAAGAGGCATCTTCACAATGGTTTCAATCTGAGGCCGCCTGTCTTTTTTCTCATTTCTTCAACATTCTCATCCATTATGTTTAATGACTACTTATAATACTGTCTCTACTCTTCTTGAAGTACTTACCAGACATATGTTGGAGCCTTTTACAGGTATATCAATTGGTTTATTTTCTCAATTGCCAATTTTCCAACTGTGTAGTCCAAGTTTATTTGGTTAAGTTTTTAATTTAAATAATCATATTTATAATCAAATATTTCTACCTTACTCCTCTTCGTATGTGCTTTTCTGCTTCGTTTCTGTATGTTTTTCTTAATTTATCATTCTTGTTTTATTAATACTATTCCTTTCTTGGTGTCTTTCAGGACCCTAAATATGCTTATTTTAAGTATTTTCCCAAGTTATTTTTAACCTCGCACATGTGATTTCTATGCTAATTATTTATTTTTAACATTTTTCTTAGTAATAATTATCTCTGTGCTTTGAAATTTTATTGAGTAGCTTCATCTTCATTGGGAGACAAAGTTTCCTTTCTCACTGTTCTTATCATTTGGAAATCTTGTAGTTGCAATCTCCCAACTCCATAGGCCCTGAATCCACAATGTTGTTGAATATTTCTGATTCACACATTGCTTAACTCAAGTCCTAGTGGCAAGGAAGCATCCACTTCCTTCTTTGCCTCTAGTTCAGCAGTGTCGTGGAAGGTCTAAGTGCAGTCAGCAATCAGCAGTGACCCCTCCTTCCTCTTTCATGGATCTGATGCGATGCACTCATGGAGCCCATTCCTACTGGAGCTGCGTGCTTCATGGCATCTGCCTTCCAGCCCGAGATGTGCCAGTCTCACAGCTTCAGCAGCTTCGTGTGTTTAGTGTCATCTCTGCACATGGTTAGCATCTGCACGTTTCCCATCATGTGATCAAGTTTATATTCTATAGACTATAAACTATCTCCAAACATGAATCTATAAGGTTATCTCGCTTGAACGTCCCAAGTGTGTATGTGTGTGTGTGTGTGTGTGTGCGCGTGTGTGTGTGTAATAAAGGCAGGGGAACCATGTATGTGTTTATAAATTGAGGGAAAGAGCCAACAGAGAGGAAGAAAGTGAAAGCATGTGTAGGAGAGAGAGAGCAGGGACCCAGTGAGGTTGGTTTGACGTGAATTCCGGAGATAAGTGGGGACAGGATGAGTAGATGAGAGGGTGACCCTCTGAGACAGAAGGGATATAGGGATTAATGCGGGTTTGTGGAATTGGCACAGCTTCTTCATCTAACAACTCTGGGGATGAAACAGAGGCTCATTTGCCACTAGTCTCTCTTTTTCTAATTATTCATTCTGTCTTCTAGTTAAACAGTATAACTACTACTGCATGTCCGGAATAGTCTTCAAAAGAAAATTTTCTGACAACACTGCTTCCACCTGAAAATAATGAAAGCAACCAACAGCTTTTAATAGGTTTTTAAAATTGGACTATATTGAAAGGATTTTTACTTATACAGGTGAATTTCATCCAATATACAGACATATATATTTCTCATAGGTTTCAATTCTATCACAGAAGTATTTTTAAGCTAGCCAAACTTGAGAACTCAAGAGAAAATATTAAAACTCTAGGTTGAATTAATGTCATTGAATGGCTCATGTGACTTGCCTTATCATGAGAAGTGTTTCCCCAACTACTCAGAATTATTTAAGCATATTTTAGGGGCTGACACTGTGGCACAGTGGGTTTAGCTGTCATCTGCAGCACTGGCATCCCGTATGGGCACTGGTTCGAGTCCCAGCTGCTCTGTTTCCGATCCAGCTCCCTGCTAATATGCCTTAGGAAGCAGTGGAGGATGGCCCAAGTGCTTGGGCCCCTGCAGCCACGTGGGAGACCTGGGAGAAGCTCCTGAGTCCTGGCTTTAGCCTGGCCCATCCCTGGCTGTTGCAGCCATTTGCGATTTGGGGAGTGAACCAATGTATGGAAGATCTCTCTCTCTGTAATTCTGACAAATCGATCAATCTTCAAAAAATAGCCATCTTGTTAAAAAAAACATACTTTAAGTTTCTTAATTTAAAATCTAGTTTGAAATAACTTAGAAATTAAAGTCATTTCACTATTATAAGCAGAAGTATAATTAATTCATTGGGGGCATCCATTTTCCAATATGCTTTCTGCACTGGTTGATTGTGTAATCAATTTTGTTATCTGCTCAGGCAAGCCAAAAGCAAACATTAAAAAGTGTTAATATAGTACCAAATACACACTTAAACCATTGATTTCAATTGTTTTAGCTATTATAAGTAGGTCATAATTTCTTCCTATTTTGTAACGGAAGTGCTAATCAAAACTAAAACAACTAAAAAGCAATCAGCAAGAGAAAGGAAATGAAATGGGGTTACCAGATCTCTGCTTTTTATTACAGAAGCAGCCTTTCTTTCCTTCTTTTTTCTTTTGGTTATTAATCTAAGACTGCTAGCAATTTTATTCCTAAATAATAAACCATTCTCTGATTTCTTGGCTGCCACAAGCCAGTTTCTACAATGTGAGGCTTAGTCTCTGGAATTGTAATTTATAACCTGAAGGACAGTCATTTCTCCTGCTATTAATTTCTAAGTTCACATGGCATTCTTCCCTGAGGATGCATGAGCAGCTCCATAGCTCAGACATAGGCACTGATCTAGGTCATGTGTGACCAAGACGGCAGGTAAGATGCTTTGAAAGGTATGACAGTGGGATTTCTAAGAGAAATTTGGAAGTGTCCATATTGTGCAGAAGTCAAAGGTCTTTGCTATTACTAATTTGAGCTCTTAATTTCCAACCTCTCAAAAAATATTTAGCCAAGTAATACATTCAAAGAGTGAACAAAGGCATGATTTGGTAAAATCAAGGAGACTCATTAAAAACAAAAAAAGCAGGAGGTTCACTTTGGTAGGCACAGCATAGGTTTAGGAGCAACAAGACTGGCAAAATAAGATTAGAAAGTGGGCTTGATGAAATGAGATACCACTTGACATCCAGTAGAATGTCTGTAATCAAAAAGACTGACAATACCAAGTGTTCCCAGGGGCGAGGTGCATGGGATCTACTGCTGATGAGATTGGAAAATATTACCACCAGTTGGAAAAGAGTTCAACAGTTGTTTAAAACTTAACATAAATTTATCATAAGACCAATCAATCCACTCATGGGCCTCTATCCCTAGGAGATAGAAAGTAGGCTTCCAGGGGTCAGGAATGGGAATGGGGGCTCACTATAAAGGGGCATAAGGGATGTTACATGGACGATGGCTGCACAACCCAGTAAATTTACCAAAAACCATTGCATTACTTAAGACGGGTGAATGGGTAAATTTTATTGTATGGAAACTGTATATCAATATAACTGTTTACTATAAAGAAGAGGAAGGATGCTGGAAGGCCAGGCTACTTGTACCCAATACGAGAAGCAATGGAAAATGTAGAATTGAACAATGGATTACTGAACATCTGTTTCATTGGTGTACTCTTTTGTTCATTTCTTTTGGCTTTGGCCTTGGTCCATGTTGTTCCCTCTGCTTGGAGTTCCCTCTGCTCTTTGTCTAGCTAAAGCTTTCTTCAATTTGACGTTATCTTCTCAGGGAAACCACTCTACAACTACCACCCCTGTCTAGGGCAGTCCTGTCACCTGGATTCCTAACATCCCATCTGTCCCTTTCCTCGCACTTACCACTACTGACACTAGTGAATTATTTGTGTCATTACCTGCTTTGTGTTTGTCTTCCCCACTGGGTTGTAAAAGCCTCTTAAGCAGTTACAGTATCTTATTCACATAGCAATAGCAAGAGCTGAATAAATAGTTATTAAATATATAAACAAAGTGATTCATCCAAAGCTTTAGAAAATTCTTCCCTGAGATTCTTCATTTATTGAAACTACATCACTTATCTTTTACATATCTTTCTCTAGATGTCCTTCCACATGCAGAACAAATGCCATCACTTCCTTAACACGTTCGTATTTCCCTTACTAGAGTAGGTCTCCTTGAGGGTAGAATGCCAATCGGATTCATCTCTTTCACACAATAAGCCTCCAAATATATCTGATGAAAAAATTTGTAATAGGGGCCGGCGCCATGGCTCACTTGGTTAATCCTCCGCCTGTGGTGCCAGCATCCCATGTGGGCACTGATTGCTCCTCTTCCAGTCCAGCTCTCTGCTGTGGCCCGGGAGTACAGTGGAGGATGGCCCAAGTGCTTGGGCCCTGCACCTGCACGGGAGACCAGGAGGAAGCACCTGGTTCCTGGCTTCAGATCGGCACAGTGCACTGGCCGTGGCGGCCATTTGGGGGTGAACCAATAGAAGGAGAACCTTTCTCTGTCTCTCTTTCTCACTGTCTAACTCTACCTGTTAAATTAAAAGAAAAAAGAAAAAATTTGTAATAAACACAAACATACATTTGACAGTGATTTGGTCTAGGTTTGTGTGGTCTGCTTAATCTTTTGTAAAGAGTACAATGCTTCCCAAAACTTAATGTAGATACTGAAGACTTGAGAGCTGGCTAAAGCGCAGATTTCCATGCAGTAGGTTTGGGGTGACATCTGGAATGCGTCATTTCTGACAAGTTCCCAGGCGATGACCATACTGTAGGTTGGCTGACTGCACTTGCAGCAGAGGTTCTCAACCTTGGTTTCACCTCCATTCTACTTGGGAAGAAGCTTCAAGGAAATACTGATTCTTGAATCCCATCCTCAGAGATTTGCATTCCACAAATGTGGGTCACAGCTTTGTCAGCAGGATTTGTTAGCACTGGAGCTAGGTGAGGGGTGTGCAGGAAGCCTCTGTGCTGTCTTTGCAACTTTTCTGTAACTTTAAAATTAATTCTAAGTAAAAAGATTATTAGAAAATAACCTCAAACAATTTTAATGAGAACCACTCATTTGGGGCATAAATCTGATTTTTAAAACCTGGGTTAGTGCCTGAGCATTGGACAAGTCTACCACTCATCAGTGGGGAATAAATGGCCCAGTCATGCTGGCAAATAAGTCTTATTCTTTAAATTCCTTTGAATTCCTTGGGTTCAAGATATTTACATGAGTATCTTCTGAACTGGATTTTTAAAGCCTTTTCCTAGCTCAAGTCACATGATTGCTGGCCTGTTCCCAACCTGAACGACTTTTTCAAGATTGAAGAATGATGATACAGCGTCATTGGCTGCACAGCATGGGGTTCACCACCTTATATAGAACTATCCTAAATGACAGGCTAAATTGCCTCCCAAATTTCCATAAAGCCCAAGCAGCTTATTTCTCAAAATAAAATAAAAAACAATAGGTACCACTTTAATGTGCTGGAATTCAAGAGAGAAGTATAAATCATAATCCTCTCAAAAGTCCGTCCTGGAAAGTATTTGAAAGAAAGCATAAATGAGAACATAAACATGGATACCAAGTGGAAGGAGCTTGGCTTAGCTTGGGAGTACATTCCCTGTTCTAGATATGGAAAAGGAGATCAACTTTGCTAAATTCCCCACTGGGACCTGGTTCTCACACTATGCATCCAAGCTTTTCTTTTTTTTTAAATAAAACAAAAAGCCATTGATGCAGGGTTGGCACTTGACCTAGTGGTTAGCACACCAGTTAAGATACTGCAGCCCACATGGGAGTACCCGGGTTCCATCCCTAGCTCCTGACTGCAGCCTCCTGCTAATACTGACCCTGGGAGGCAGCAGTGGTGGCACAAGTAGTTGGGTTCCTGGCACCCACGTGGGAGACCTGGATTGAGTTCCCAGCTACTGGATTAAGCCCTGGCCCAGCCTTGGCCATTGCAAGCATTTAGGGAGGGAGCCAGCAGATGGGTGCTTTCTCTCTCTCTCTCTCTTCCTCCCTGAGTGCCTCTCAAATAAAGCAATTTTAAGAAACCACTGATACTGTTTTCTTTGTCAAATTGTGTTGGAACTATGTCTTCAGGGGGTTTCGTGATAAGGAGGGCTAGTGAATAAAATTTTATATTTGCAATAGGCAGGAGGCTTGAGGTGACTTACAGAGGGAATATATTTCACACAGCTTTCCCTAGATTTGCATAGCAATTTAGAAGAGTTGCCTATGGTCCCTGTTCTCTTATTACTCAGCCCTGTGCAGTGGGTTGGGGTAGTGGGGGATGAGGTTACAATACAAGCAGTTCAGTGTGCCCATGACCTCTTAGAAACTTCTGTTTCGCTGAAAGAACAGTTTTTGCATTTCATCTTTAACTTGATGGCTAAGGTTTAGCAGAAACCACCAAATTTCCCTGTTTTGGGGTCCAAGTTGCACTGTCATGCTCTGCTTTCAGCTGTCTGCCACAGATGTTCTCCCTCCCCATCTGTCAAGGAATCTTCCAGGGTCATGCTGGACTTGTAGGCTAAGTTGATGTTTTGTGACTTTGCCTCCCATAACTCTCAAGTGGAAACAATATCCTCCAAAAGGAAGTTTTGCCTAATATCATAAACCACTCTACTGTCTGGACAAACAGCTTATTGGAAAAGAGACAGCCTGGATTCAAATGGTCCAAAACCACCTTTAAATGTGCTGGTAGTTTCTTATAAACATATGCTCACAATACGATACAGCAGTCCTACTCCCGGGAACTTCCCTTGATAAATTAAGTCCTATGCTCCCACAAAAATATGTACATGAATGTTTATGGTAGCTTTATTCATAACAGCCAAAAATCTGGGAACGACCCATTTGTCATCCAATGGGTAAACGGTTAAGCAATCCCTGGAATACTACTCAGCAAAAAAAAAAAAAAAAAAAAAGGAATGAACCTCAGGTACATGCAGCTACTTGGATGGATTTCAAAGGCATTTTGAGTGAAAGAAGCCAATCTCATCAAGCTACGGACTGTATGACTCCATTTATATGACATTCTCAAAAACCCACAACGATAATGGCAGAGAACAGAGAATAGAGGTTGGGAGGAGGGTCTGACTTCAAAAGGGTGGCAGAAGAGCATGTGGGGAGCGATGAGAGAGTTTTGTGTCCTGACTGTGATTGTGGCTACTGAAATCTATACATGTATTAAACATGAAAATCGCAAAACCCACAATTTTTCCAGAGTAAATTAAGGACAAAATATTACTTTCTCCTTTTAAAAAAAACACTTCTAGGAGTTGTTTTCAGAAGAAACACTACTTTTAAAGTATCTGCTCAGGTTTCACATACATCTCCACAGGTGCATAAAGAAAAAAACGAAGCCACTTCTTAGGCGTCTGTGTTTTGTCGTTAGGGTCTGGCCTCACGCAGCACAGATGATGCCTGATGGCATGGGGCATCCCAACTGAACATTGTTGCTGTGCCTAACACTGCTGTGACTGCTCAGGTGGAACCTGCCAATGGCCTGGTCCAGAAACCTGGCTGTTTGGGAGTGTGGTGGGGTTGTCCTTCGTCTCGGGACCTCATGCTACTGATGGCTCTGTGGTTCTTTCCTTTGAATGTATTGATGAGAAATCCAGCAGTGTTTGATGAGACTTAGATAGAGGGAAACTGCAGGAAAAGTATGCATGTGGGCACATTTGTGTTGAGTGTGGCTGTCCGGGTGTTTTAAGGAGATATGAGGGAACCAAGAAGGCAGAGATCTCCTTGTCCTCCGGTTTGATGAGGTTGTTGATGATTTTCTCTCCAGCCAAATCATCCTGCATTTGGAGAAATGTCTATGTCCCCCTTTGCATGTTTTAAATCTGTGCTCTACTCAAATGCCTGAGTTTCCACTCGGCGTAGCTGTGTTTAGGAAATGTGGGAACAGATGGGTGTGAGATGGGCTTGAGTGATAAGACAGCTCCAGGCCCTCTAAAAGTATGCTCTGCATTTCAGGCATAGAAAGCCAAGACACTGTGGCAAAAAAAGCAAGCCTACATGAAGGATGTCCGTGAGTGAGTGAGAAGCGCCCATCAAAGAAGGAGGTACTTTTCTCTGAAGGGAGGAGAGAACTTCCACTTTGCTCATGGCCTTGTCTAAAATTCTAACAGAGATTGTAGATTCAGAAGGCTTCCATAGCCTTGGCAGCGCATGTCAAGAGCCTTGGGTGATCACTGACGTCATACAAAAGAGTGCTAATTGTTAAATTAATAGTAAGAGTCACTGCACTAACTCCCCATGCGGGACCTCTGTCCTCAGAGTTGTATTATGAGAGTTAACAGTGAAACTTGTTCTCAAAGATCTATTTCGTTTCAGTGTACTCAGTGGAGGATATTCTTATGTCTCATAGTTATAGTTATGTTTAAGTGTCTAACTCCATTGCTTGTTTTCTTAGGTGCTTCCTTAATTAACAATAAAAGAAAGTAAGTCCTTGTGAACAAGTTTTAATGTAGTAAGTGGAGGATATTCTTATGTCTCATAAGTTATAGTTATGTCTAAGTGCTCACAAAAGATGTATCATTCTTGGGTAATTCTTTAAAGTTAAGTTTCTAAAAAAAAAGTGAAATTAACTCTGAGATGCAAAGACTTTGAATAGCCCTTGTTTGAACTGTTGAAGAACAGTTCTTTTTTCCATGCAAACTGTTTAACTCTTTACTTAGTATAGAGTTGGTCTTCTGTGTATAAAGTTAATTGAAAATGTATCTTAGTGGAGAATGGGACTGGCAATGGGAGAGGGAGGAGAAGGAGGGGTGGGAGGGCGGGTATGGTGGGAAGAATCACTATATTCCTAAAGTTGTACTTATGAGATGCATGAAGTCTGTATTCCTTGAATAAAAGGTTTCTTTGGGAAAAAAATTAAAAGTATGCTCTGAATAACAAGAGAATATGTCCATTACAGCCTTGCTATTACTGATCTAAAAAATCACCAGCCTAATGTCTTTACAGTGACTCAGTTATTGTTCAAAGCAATTTCATTCTGATTCCCTCTAAGGGAGCAGTAGAATTCCTCTTCGTTCTGATCTTGGGTCATGTGATATGTTTGGACCAATGTGGCCTTACAGGACATGATGCAAGCAGAGATCTGATTGCATGGTTCTCCTACGATTCCACCATCACTGCTGGCATGTGCTCCAGTAGCCCAGTGAGGCAAGGAGGAGAAGAGACATGTGGGGTAGAGCCTCACTCAACCTGTGGCTTGAGCCTTGATGCTGACTCCCAGCTGAGCCACAGAGACCTAAGAATTGATGATTGTTATTTAAGTCACTGAAATTTGGACTGGTTTGTTACATGGCACTATTGTGGCAACAGGCAACTGCTACAGCCCCATTTCAACCAGAGTAGCATAAGCCACTCAGGGAAGAGGATTTTTATGTAAAACTTTACTGTCAGCCCTGCTGTGCTACTAGCAGTCAGCCCAGTACCCCCTTTCACGGCTCTTCCTAAAGATCTAGTGGCCCCACATCAACATCCACTCATCTCTTTCTCCTCTGCCTTTACCATTGTCCTCCGCACTGTCGAAATGCCCAGTGATCCTGTCTTGTGACAATGTATGGATGAACCAAGCACATCACTGTCAAGCTTGCTTTTACTTTTTCATCCTACTCTGTTCTTTTGTGCAGTCTCTTGGGAAGAATCCAGGGTACTCATTCAATCAGAATTACACGCTTCTGAGTTTTCTCCACAACAGAGCAGCATTTTCTCTCTAGAAATGATTTGAGCCAAATTTAGGTTTCAGGAAAGCAATGCTTATCTCCAATATGCAGTGAATGACAAAAAGAAACTCATTATAAAAATTTACGTTATTACTTAAAGTTTCGGGCATTAAAAATATCCTTCCCACAGGCCAAACTGAACTCCCTGGCTGTTGGTAACACACGCACATAACTAAGACATCTTTATTTTATAGAAACATCATTTCCACTCACGTGCCTGGCACGAATGCCCAGTGTACGAAGTGTACAGCTTTCCTGTGCCCAGGGAGGAGCCTCCTGAACAGCAGAAGTAAAGCTGGCTTCCTGCAGCACACTTTGCCCGACTATCCAGTCATGGTGGGTTCACATCCCCACTAAAGGTGCTCTGAGTACGGACGCTGATTTCTTAAAGCAAGCATAGGTCTCCACACATTAAAGGAGCACGATGGAAACCAGTGGATTTTCTTCTTTCTACTCTGTCTCATCTGCCCCTGCCAAGCTATTTTATTACAGTTCATTCTCCAGCATTGCTGTAAGGCTGGGAATGTTTTGACATTGTAGTCAAAGGAATGCTCAGAAGCATTTAAGTAATCAAAGTTGTACATGATAGTCATTAATACTATTCACCAAATATTGCCAGTTTTCCATCTTCCGAGTGCATGTTAGGACTGCACATCCTGGCCCCTTGTGATATAGGAATGGGCCAAGGGGGCTGTGGCTGGAAGTGATTTGTGTAACTTCTAGGCCAGAGCATTTAACTGCCTATGTGAGACTCTCCCTCCTTCTGTCAGAGTGATTTACAGCGTTCAAGCTATAGATGCTCAAACCAGCTTCCTCTTGATGGTCCTATGATGCGAGCAACAAAGAAACCTCTGTGGTTTTTGAGCCCCTGAGATCTGTTATTGCAGCATGTCCTAGCCTAGCCTGACTAATGACGTATCTGACTAATTCACTATGTCTTCACAATTCACCTAGCATAAGATAAAAACATATGGAGCAAATCTTAGGTTCTCAGGAATGAAGTAAAGCATCAGGGTGTCCAAGTTGATCCAGACTTGCTGTGCAGCCACATGCTATTCTGTTCATCTTTTTTTCTGTGAGCACCAGGCTGGAAAGATGGGCTAAAGTGACTTCCTTCTGTAACTCTGGCTCCTATACATACATGAACACCTTACAGGATGGCTTGTGGCTGAAAGGACACTCCAGGACTCTGATACATCTGCTCAAATCCCATCCTACGCCCACAGGAAAACAGCACATGGTGAATACACTGCCTTAGAAAAATGCTTCCGAGTTTTTTAGAAATAATGAAAACAGACTGGCCATGATGCAAATAAATGTTGTGGCTACTAAAGCAGTAGTTCATATCCTAGATATCTTAAAATCCTATAAGCCTAGTCCTTCAACAAATATGGCCAGCCCTCTGGATCCATCTGTGGGCTCCTCATCCATGCACTCAACCAGCAGCAAACTGAAAACATACCCCTGCCAAGCTGCATCTATACTGAACATGTGCAGATGCTTCTCTTGCAATTATTCTCCAAACCATATAGCATAACAACAATTTGCATGATATTTACATGGTACTAGATATTATAAGTAATCAAGAGATGATTTGAAGTATGGGAGGATGTGCACAAGTTATATGAAAATATGACACCACTTTACACAAGGGACTTTTTAATCCATGGATTTGGGTATCTGCAGTGAGTCTTGGAACCAATCTCTCATGGATCACATAGGACAAATGCACTGTTTTAGTAACCACTCTGTTACAGGCTTGGCCCTAGGTGACAGGAACACTGCCGTAAGCAAGACAATCTCAAGTTCCTCTTCTCAATAAGCTATCATTCTAGTGGGTGGTGACAAGTAATAAACCAATACACAAGCAAATAAAAATGTCTGGCACCAATGCAACCATAGATAAGGTAAGCAGTGTAATGACATATAACATGGCTCACAAACTATGACTGGTGGCCCAAACCCAGCCTGCAGCCTGTTTTGGTATGGTCTCTGAGTTAAGAAGGATCTTTTAGTTTTAAATGGCTGAAACAAAAGACTTCATGATGCATGACAATTACATAAAACTCAAATTTCAGTGTCCATAAAATTTCGTGGGAGCACAGCCATACTTGACATGATATGCCCTGGCTACCTCTTTGACCTCCATGATTGCACTTCTGGCCTCTACTTACAAACCCCCTCCAGCCACACTGCTCCCCAAGCTAACAGTCAAACACCCCAGCCAAATTCCTGCCCCACCACAGCCAATGCACTGACGGTGGCCTCTGCCTCCCTCAATTCCTTCAGGGCCTTGCACTAATACGACCAAATCAGAGGTCTCCCCTACCCACCAGGCAGCATTTCCTCCCCCTACAGGAATTTCTTCATCTTGCACATGTTTCAGATTTGCATACTGTCCACCTCCACCTGTCACATATGGAGTACAAGTTCCAAGGGAATGAAACATCGTCTTATTTCCTGTTGCATTCCTAGCCCCTAGATCAGTGCCTAGATATTCTAGGTGCTCAAAAAACACTCCTTGGGGGAAAAAATGAATGAATGGTTGGACATCGGAAAACTAATGAGAGATAAAGGAGATTATGTACACACTAGGACATCACAGCCAGCCCAGGCTTTCGACACATTGGGGTCTGAGGTATCTTTATTTTATAATGCCCTAATGTCTTGGTAAGATTGTAACAACTAGAGGTAAGGGAGAGAGAAAAGTGGACTCACCACCATAAAAGCAACAAGAGGTGATATTTAACCTCATCTCAATCACATTCCCAATTATATACAGTTCCCACCCACTCTGTTCATCTCACATTGTAGGAAAAAGTGCTCAGAGCAAATGTGCCTGAAAATGTGCTCAGAAACAGTTTTGCTGTCATTTGTGTCCCTTTGTTCTCTCGCACCTCTATCCAATGTGGTAATAAATGTGTTTGGGAGTGCGAGATCATACTCCCTCCAGTACTACATGGAATCATCTGTGTGTACAAACACTATACTCTTATTCCAAAAATCATCTTTGTAAGGGCTCAATAGTAAAGACTCATGCACAGGTTTGAATCTGGATTTTAAATAAAAAAATTAGTCATACAAGAACTACTGTATTCAAGATGTAAGATACAGGGGGCTCCGTTGCATCCTGGGTACCATTAATATGTCACAGTGACATGAAAGCTCCAAGCACCAGCCATACTCATAAATGAATAACTAGCTTAGGCCAGGTGTGTGTATCAAAGCATAGCATTCAACAAATTTAACTACAAGGTCAAGATGAAGAGGAACTTTTGGAAAACATTCTGATATCCCTTGTGCCGAGGACTGTGCCTGGTGAAAGCAGAGAGGAGACAACCTGGGGACAGAATTAGCATCACCATCCATTCTGGAAAAGAGGTGGTTAGAAGTGGGGAAGGTACGGAGGAACATACGCTCACGGGCTTTCTACTGTAGAGCATCATGAAACTGCAGCATTTTTATCTCAAAAAAAAATAATATTCAAATGCCAGTGTCTTGAACCATTACCATCTCACACTAAACTGCAATTTAATAACAAAACCATTAATAAACATATTTCTATAACCAATATGATATACCTCATTATCTCTCACCAGCTAGTCACATCTAGGCCAAAACTTCTGCTTAATTATAGGCAACCCTTTCCTTACTATCAGAAATAAGTTAAATTAGCTGGAGGCTAGGTGGATATAATCTCAGTATACACAGGTTCATTTTTGGAAGGAAATTCTGACATGTAAGAAAAGAACTTGGTAGCAGTAGTATGAGGAAGCATACAACGCTACATCTGCCTTGCACAATGTTTGCTGTCACATGGGAATCCAATTGCTTTCTTCATTGCCCAATTAAACAAATTTATGTTAACAATAAATTTAAAACTTCACTGTACCCAGGATACCTAACAAATATTTGGTGTTTGTGCACTTTAAAAGAGCTGAACCGCTAAAGAATATTACTTATTTCCAACAATTCTTAGTCTCATCTCTTGTACCACGAAATAAACGGATGCTTTAAAGTAGAATGGAATCGCTTCTCGGGGTTTTGGCTAAGCTCAAGTGTAAAGCAGGATGGAAATACTTTAAAACTCAGTGAGGCCAGCATATCCAAAGGATTTCTGTTGTGTGGATTTAATCAAAGCCTTGACAGCCTAAAAAGTCTTACCTGCTTGAAGCAGGTCACACTTCCTTCTCCTGCTACCTATGCTCAAAATGGGATTCCCCCTTTACCTACCGTGCGGCACTGAGATCCAACGATAAGGCTGGTCACAGGAAAGTGGAGCTCAAGATTGGGGTTTCTCCCACGTATGTTTGGCATTTGAAATATTAGGAAGATGCAGACTGGTAGACAAGATGACTCTACCCATAACACCAGTGTCATCCAACTTTTGATCTTACTGTCAATCCCTACCCTCACCCCCAGACTAATACCAAGTAGGAGCCTTTTCAGCCCTCTTGTCCCCCTGTGAAATCTTAGTACAGATATTCTACATATCCTTTTATCAGTGTATATCTGTGCTTTCCAGACCGAGAGTAAGGCTTTTTCACCTTTCCAAAGTCAATTTTCCCCTGTTGGGGGCACTATCACCCCTGCTGAAAACGCACGACCTAAAACAGCTACAATAACTCAAGCCCACATTTGATGGTCTATTCACAGCCAGAAATTCCTAAAGCAAAGATTTAACCATTCAGTCAAAACGGTTACATCTGAATCATCTTCAAAATACAAAGCTTAAAAATACATAACCTATGCAACACATAAAATTGGGTGAAACATTGTACTAGCTGTCATAATGCCCAGTTAATTTGTTTTTATATTGATTGGGCTCTACTTAATGCTTGTTTATAGAACCGAAGATCTGATTACTATTGCATTTTACACATTTCAAGGAGCAAAAAATAAAAAATAAAACAAAACCACCTCTGAGAAAATGTTCTGAATGGTAGCAATTGGTAATTTGCAAAACCAAATAGAAACCATCTGTTGAAGTCACTGGAATTTTCAGTTTTATAGAATAAAATGAACTAACCTTTGTTGCTCACAAATGACCTGAAACTAAATGGCCCACAAAGTTACATGTGTCATAAAAACACACCAGTGCTTCACTAGGAAACCACTGTCATCCACATACAGAGATGAAAAAAGATTGTATTAGAACTCCAAAAAACCTCAAACACCCCCAAAACAAGCATTTTCACATAATCACGCCAAAAGTTTAGTAAGCCTTAGAAACAGAACAGTCACCAACAAATGCAGGCTATATCCTGTCCATTACTAAGGGTGTTCTTCACTTTTACATTTTTTCAGAAACAATGAGGGCAAAGAAAGCAAGCCCTCTGCATAAGCCAATAAAATGAATCTTCATCACATTAATAATTGAGCTCACCTACCTTCAGAGGTCCATGGTCATTACTGGAACCCTGCACCAGCTGTATGTAAGACATCATGAAAATATTCACCACTGCCCACTCTCTGTACATTTTGAATAGTTTAATATCCACAGGTTACTAAGCAGTTGACATCAAGCAGGCAGAGAAAATTGTTTCAAAAGGCATTCTCCAGAAAGAAAGTTCAAAACCCCAAACTTCACATGGAAAAAACAATCACTTGTGATCAAAATCCAATGAAATGACTTCAATTAGGCAAGGTACTTTTTTTGGCACAACCTGGTTGCAGGGAGATGAAAAAAATTGTAAAATGTTCTCATGCTCCAAAAGTAATCAAGAGGTGGACATGTTTTCCACCTGAAACTAGAAAGCACTCTGAATTCACTTCACATCCAGCAAATTAAAAAAAACAAAACAAACAAAAAAAAAAAAACCAGTCTCTCCACCCTAAGCCTCAGGTTCAAGTTGCTTTACAAGGACGTGGCCACCAAAACTCACAGCCACAGAAAGCTGGAACCCAACTCTGGATTAAAACTTTTTTTTACAACCTTCATGGAAGCTTGCAGAAGCATGTGTCTTAAATCTGCCACAGATCTTGGCAGAAAATTCAGGGAAGTCTTGGCTGTAATCCTGTTGCATCCCTACCAATGGCAGGGCAGTTTTAAAAACTGACTTAAATGCTCAGAACTGCTGTTCCTTTAAAGCAGATAACCTGTAACACGAAACCGCAGCACAGTCTGCACTGCTGTATAGCAACAGCATCGCTTAGCAGGGAACTTCAGATCCTCGCATCTGCTGCCAGTGACATGCAGAAAGCAGTCAAGTACATACAAAAATAACAAAAGTGTCCATTTGCACATGCAAAACGGCAAACAAACACAATTTTTAAAATGTTATTGTTATTTAAAAGGCAGAGAGAGAGAGAGAGAGAGAGAGAGACTCACATCCATTCATTCTCCAAATGCCTGCAATAGCCAGGGATAGGTTAGGCTGAACCCAGAAGCCAGAAGCCAGGAACTGAATGCAGGTCACTCATGGGAGTGGCTGGAAGCTTAGTACGGGAGCCCTCAGCACTGCACCCCAGGGTAATACATATGCAGACAGCTGGAATCAGAAGCCAGAGCCAGGACTCAAACCGAGGCTCTCTGATACGGGATGAGGGCACCCCAAGCAGTGTCTTCACTCTGCCAAGTATCTCCCCTCAAAATTTTTTTAGCAGAAGCTTAGCAATTTAGGTCAAAATGAAGAAGACTGATTTTTAAAGAAGTGATGGTTAGGTTTATTCATGTGTACCAAGAGATGCCCTACACGCGCTGCTACAGAATCCATAATACCACTTTCGTATGCAACTGTTTCCAAGTACCAGTTAAGTCAGCTTTAGAAACTGAATGTCTTGAATGGTTGGAAATTACAAACAGCAAAATCCTAAGAAGCATAAAGACCTTCTCTTGTGTTCTTCACTAGATTCCAATCTTTGATTTCCAGGTCTTGGCCCTTTCAAATCCATTTTTTGCATTTCTGAAATCGAGAATGGCCTGAGAAATCTCTTCATTCGTGTTCATCACAAATGGACCTGTGGCAGAAGGAGACATTTAGAAAGTTCTGAGTGACAATATTTTCTCTACCACTAGAAATGGTGAGTATTTCTATGACCCTTAATTTGAAAAAACACAAGCATATATGAAGAGTAAAAGCCTGTTTTCACAGTATTCGATTTCCCAAGGACTTTAAAATGGATTTGTTGATTTGGATTGTGTATGGTTACAGATAAGGAAGACCAACCTTCAGATAACAAATGCAAGTGCATCTCACCCATCCATTCCAAGTACCATCAGCAACAGTAATTTTTTATTTGAAACATTCTTAGATTCAGTTATATTACAAGCATTTTTATAGTTTTTATTTTTATAGTATTAGCTAATGTCAAGAATTGAACCAGTCTGACACAAAGAATTGGCAGATATTCTAGTTCAGTGTCTAAGCCAATGACCCTCTTGATTTCCCCATCACATTGTTTCATTAGATGCAAAATATCTATCATTGTTTGATTACATATTTGATGTGAAATATCTGTCATTGTTTGATTACATGGGAAATATCTAAAAGCAATCAAGAGTTGAAGTCATTGTGACAAATACTTATCCCAGGATTTTCTGCCTCCAAGTACATACTAGTGCTACTAAATGAGAATTATCTCTATTCACTTTTGAAAAAATAAAAAGAATGATTTAAATATTTTAACAACTTTCAAAGGAGTACTATTCCTAAGAGGGTCATAGTTTTCTCTGAAAGTAAAGACTACAAAGACAGCATTTGCTATGGTTTGTATGTTTTGTCCTTTCCAAAATTTACTGACATCTGAATGCCACTGTGGCAGTGTTGGGTGTGGGACCTTTAAGAGGTGATAGGTACTTAAGAGGGGTTAATGCTGTTCTCCCATGAGTGAGTTCTCACTGTGATGGGGCTGGATTAGTTATGGCAAGAGCAGGTGGTTAGAAAGTGAGTTCTCTCCTTACAACGGAGCTTACTCATAGTGTTTTGCCTCTTCTGCACATGCCCATTGGCCCTCCCACTTTCTGCCGTGAGTCGAACAAGCACGAGGCCTGCTGGCACTAGGCTTTTGGACTTCCCAGCCTCCAGAACTTTAAGCCAAAATAAACCTTTTTTCTTTATAAATTACTCAGAGGCATCTTGTTACAGTAACAGGAAATGGACTAAGATACGATCTAAACAACTTATTTTTTGGTAAAGGTAAAAATGATAATTCAAGCCTCCAGTGAACTACAAAATCTTTTTCAAGTTGAACTATCCTAGGACACAATAAAAAATATCTATTTTTGTTCTTCCCTAGTTCTAAGTCCTACACACGATAGGTACTTAAGAAACGAGTTTTTTTTTAAGAGAAATGAATATAAATATGCCATGCATATGTTTTCCTCTGACAATGGAGAAATAAAACAAAATCCTCCCATTTGTAGATGGAGATATAGGACAAAAATCCCGATACTCTTCCCAATAATAATATATATGTAAAATACATTCAAAGAAACAGAAAATCAACCAAGAAAATTGTGATAATTTGCTGCTTACCATGTTGCACGACTGGTTCTCTTAATGGCTCTCCAGCAATCAAGACAAAATGGCTTCTCTTGGGATCCTAAATTTAACCAAAAAAAAAAAAAAAACAATAAGCATTCACATTTTTAAACATCAAATTGGGAACCACTTGATGTTGACTTGCTAGCCAAATGGATGATATTCTGAATCCTGAATACAAGTCCTCAGAATGTGTGTGCAAGACTCAGTACGAAAGTATTTATTTCTTAAGACATTCGCTAGCAATAGCATTCAAGGATAAGTCCAGGCCACCAAAATATTATTGTTCTCAAATTAAAGGAGAATTTAAATTGAGGTTTTCTTTAACTGGAAACATCTTCATGACAAACTATGTGATTGAACTGGTTTATTATAGGGCTTATGATTTCTCTCTAACAATATGTTAAAAGGAAAATTACTTATGAAAATCCAAAAATAAGATTTTCCTACTTTTGACATTTATTACTATTAGTGTGAAATATGCCCCAGAAATGTTGTACTAAATGGAATCATAAAAACAGAGCATCCGCGGCTGGTGTTTTCGCACAGCAGGTTATGTTGCCTCCTGCAAAACCAATATCCCATGTGGGTTCTGGTTTGAGACCCAGCTGCTCCACTTCCAAAAATCCAGCTCCCTGATAATGTACCTGGGGAAGCAGCAGCAGATGGCTCAAGTACTTGGGCCCTGCCACCAATGTAGGAGAAAATTCCTGGTGCCTAGCCCAGCCCTGGCTGCTGCAGCCATTTGGGAGTGAACCAGCAGATAGAAAATCTCTGTCTCTCTCTGTAATTCTGCCTTTCAAATAAATAAATTTTTTAAAAAAACAAACGACAAAACAAAAAACCCAGAGTATCCAAGGGACATCTGCTCAGGTGAATTTCTTTCCAAAAAGAGTCTCAGATTAACATCTCCAGAAGTTTTGGTATAAGAATTAAGGCTAGGGGGCCGGCACTGTGGTGCAGCAGGTTAAAGCCCTGGCCTGGCAGTGTCGGCAACCCATATGGGCACCCGTTTGAGTCCTGGCTACTCCACTTGCAATCCAGCTCTCTGCTATGGCCTGGGAAAGCAGTAGAAGATGGCCCAACCCACATGGGAGACCGGAAGAAGCTCCTGCAACCCACATGGGAGACCTGGAAGAAGCTCCTGGCTCCTGGCTTTGGATCGGCTCAGCTCCAGCTGTTGTAGCCTCTTGGGGAGTGAACCAGCAGATGGAAGACTTCTCTGTGTGTGTGTGTGTGTGTGTGTGTGTGTGTCTACCTCTCTGTAACTCTGTCAAATAAATAAAATAAATCTTAAAAAAAAAAGGCTAGATTTTTCCCTCTGAAACTGGAAAATATTTAATTATAATATACAGGGCTAGTGTGGATACAGAGAAAGATACACTTTCATATATCACTTGGGAGATTTTAAAGAGGTGCAGGCATTGTTTCAAAGAGCAGCTTGACAATAAAACTGAAAATTCCCAATACAACTGACGTCCTGATGCAGTAATGCCAGTTGTAGGAATACAGTGTAAGGGAATACTATGTTTCACATAGTTTCTTTATTGTTGCACTATTTATCACAGCAAAAATTGAAAATAGTTCTCTAATAATGAGGCATTGGTTAAATAATTAGGATATGGAGTAGGTTTTGTAGTGCAGGGGGTAAACTGTCCTTTGTAACACCGGCATGCCATATCAGGGTGCCAGTTCAAGTCCAAGCTACTTTGTTTCCAATATGACTCCCTGCTAATGTGCCTGGAGAAGCAATGGAAGATGGCCCAAGTGTTTGGGCCCCTGCCACCCACATGGGAGACCAGGATGGAGTTCCTGGTTCCTGGCTTTGGCCTGGTCCAGCCGTGGCTGTTGTAGTCAGTGGGGAGTGCACCAGTGGATAGAAGACAACTCTCTCTCTGCCTTTCAAATAAATACATAAGTAAATAGTATGATTGTCATTTTTAGGGAAATCAAGAAATCACATATTGAGAGGTTAGAGGAAAAACATACCAACATATCAGCAATAGCCAGGACTGGGTCAGGTCATAGCCAGGAGCTGGGGACCCAATCCAGGTCTTCCACATGGTTAGCAGGAATCCAATTACTTGCGCCACTGCTGTTGCCTCCCAGGGTCCACCTTAGCAGGTAGACAGAGTCTGGAGCCAGAGCAGGCAGTGAATCCCAAGGCTGTCCAGTATGCGGCAGGGGTATCTTCTCTAGCGTCTTAACCATCAGACTAACCACCTGCCCAACTGCTTCACTTTTAGCATAGATCCTCAATTAGATCTTGTGGTTATGAAATCCATAAGAGATTCAAAGCTAGAAGGCAGGAAAGCACTACTGCATGATAATACAAAAAGCTGACATTTAATACCAATGATGGAAATGAAAAAAATATTTAAAAAGAGGCACAGGAGTTTACAAATCAGTCCAGGAGTCTAGGACCACTTAGTGCAAAGCTAGCAACACCTGAAAACATCACCATACTTTGGAGCTCAGAACAATGACTCATATACATGCTGACGACCCAAGGTTACAAAGAAGTTAAAATATATACAATATAATCTAAGTCCACACGAAAGGGAAAGTTTCTAATTGAATGATTTTTTTCTAAAATGATGTTTGAATGAATAAAATTTTGACAAAAACAAACTCAGTTACCACAAAAAATTTAGGGTTTGGGAGTGGTGAAATTTCAATGTGTAACAAGAAACATTTGACAGAAAAGTATCTCTGAAAAATAAATGATCTAGTAGCAATGATCAGAATTATGAGTCAATGTGAAAGAGGAAGTGATTTAACAGTGTTTTGAGATGTTATTTTATTGGCAGGCAGGGAGACATACTTGAATTCTAGGACCAGGAAGCAAAGTGGCAAGGGCTAGGAGTTAAGAGAGAAGAGAGGCAAGGCGTATGTCATGTGTGAGCTGACACCTCAGAATGCATGTTTCTCAGGGCCGCCGCTGTGGCATAGCAGGTAAAGCCGCCTCCTGTAGTGCCATATGGATGCAGGTTTGAGTCCCGGCTGCTCCTCTTCCAGGCCAGCTCTCTGCTATGGCCTAGGAAAGCAGTAGAAGATGGCCCAAGTGCTTGGACCCCTGCACCCGCTTGGAAGACCTGGAAGAAGCTCCTGGCTCCTGTCTTCGGATCAGCACAGCTCTGGCCATTGAGGCCATCTAAGGAGTGAACCAGTGGATGGAAGACCTCTTTTTTTCTTTCTCTCTCTCTGCCTCTCCTCTCTGTGTAACTATGACTTTCAAGTATAAATAAACTTTTTTTAAAAAGATTTAAAAAACAATGCATGTTTCTCAACTGAGAAAATTCATCTTTCATGAATGACAAGCATTCTCTATGGTTTACACATTTAGGAATGATAAAATTTTCATAAGAAAGCTTTGCTTCTTTTGGTACTACTCAAATAAAATTATTATCTGGACAGCAGGACAAAAGGACACATGTATTTTGTCAGAACAGAGAAATTATCAAACTGCTGGGAGCTGAGTAGTTTGGTTTTCCATCATTTGAGAAATCTGGAGAATGTTCCAAATGTCCTTTAATGACTATTCTACAAATTTAACCTCTGAGTGGCTCCTTCTTCCCTAACCTAAAGCAGGTATGCTTTGTGCCTTTCTTAATGACTTTCTTTGGTAAAATCTGATAATCCTTCTGTTTCGTAGAGTGCTGATGTGGCTGAATGTCCCAGTTGCTGTTTTCTTGAAAAGTCCTTAGAGTGTCAAATGAAGAAAGTCATGGAAAAACAAAGAGAACAGAGACCTGTTTAAACATGGCTCCTTCTGTGGCTCTAAATCAACGCGTGATTACTACTACTAGGCTCAGACCCTATCTTTTTCTTGGGTGCATATTCTTAGAATTCCCGCTTAGTCTGACTATTCTGGGTTTACTTAAAAATTTACTTTTGAAATTGTTCTTATTATTCTGTAAGTATTATTGTCAAGGTAAGTATTAAGAAGAAAGTCCTATAATTCATGTAACACACTGATAACATGTAAACTATGAATATTAATCAGTTTGAATATAAAGTTTGAGATGGCAATATGACTCTGATAATGAATCTAAAGACATGATTTGCTGCTCCGCACGCGGAGGAGCCGCACCAGACCGGACGCTTGTTGTTCCCCTTTTTTTACAAGTCTTTTCTATAGTAAAGTAAGAATAAGTAAACAGTGAACCCCCAAAGCAAGAATGAGTAGAGAGAAATAAGAACGAAGCAACGAACTTCCCCGCAAACTCTCCAACGCACTCTCCAACCAACCCACACCACCATGCCGTCTCTCTCCTCCTATATAGTCCTCTCCACCAATCCGTGCTCTGCTACCCACACGCTGAGCACGCTGCTCTCCTCCAATCAGGAGCAGCTCCTGCAGCTTGTCAAGTTGGTGAGAGGCAGCTGGGTAGAAGCTGTTTGCTCCTCTCCCAGCGCCATATTGTGGGAGAGCAGATGTATAGAATAAGTCTTAATTCCAGTAACAGTATAGTCCGAGTTGCTCCCAACAATGATTTTACTTCAATAACATTTATTATAGTAATATATTACTTGAAAAAACTATCAGAAAGAAATGAAGCTTTAGCATGACTTAATTTCACACAATTGTTCTTGCTAGACTTCATTATTTATACTTCTTGGGTCAATTGGAAGATAAAGTCATTATCCAAGCTCAGCTTTTTAAAAATTAATGGTTTCTTTTATCATGAGATTTAATCCATAAATAAGCAAAAAGTTGTCTCTAACTTTAGTATGGTGTTTTATTTCTTTCAATGCTTAGATTTAATCATGTTAATACTTAGCATTTTAATGGGTTTCCCATGAATGGCAAAAGTTAAAGAGCACTGTTATTCACAAGTATGTTTTGATGACAACCAATGAGGAGGTGGTTGTCTATCTTGGTAAAAGCAGGTGAATCTGCTAACTCAGCGGTTTCAGACCTTCTCACTAGGACACCAGTAAGAACACAGGTCTAAAGGTGAGGTGGAGTCTTTCACAGCAAACTGATTCCCTCCTGATCATGGAGCCATCAGGGGACCCATCCTCAGGAGGAATTCCAGAGTATCAACTGTGGGTCAAAGCAGCACAGGGAGCCTTAGCCCTTAAGACAGAACCTGTTCTAAGCTGACTAGCACCAGCCCAGGACCAGATAACTGATTTTATCTTCCCACTGACCCAAGCAGTATAAATAATGAAGTCTAGTAAGGACAACTGTGTGAAATTAAGTCATGCTAAAGCTTAATTTCTTTCTGATAGTTCCGATGTCCAGAGGATCCTGGGGTTGATTCTAATCTCCAAGGAACTCTGAAAAAGTCAAGTCTGCTTTGATGCCATTGTTGCGGTTTGGGCTTCCTCCAAGAAGTCAAAGGGTCTGACTTAAACACTATTAAAACTAGCATGAAGCAAGCCCCTTGCCATGGCAGACTCCAAGATAATGGTCATGGAAAGGAATTCGCCGTCTGCGTGAGGAAGTCAGGAGTCCCTGAGGTCCGGCATATACTGGCCTGGATGGGTCAATGCATGCACAGACGGAGCAGGCAAACCTGGGCAGACGAGAAGTCATGAACTTGATGTCGCCCCTCCCTTGCCCTCCTCTTCGCTCCCAGAGGAAAATGCCCGCTCTTCTGGCTGATCGGAAAGATGGGCGTGAGGATGCAGGACACAGAAATGAGCAGTAGTGAAAGCTCAGGAAGAACAGAGCCAGAGGAGACCAGGGCATAAACTAGCTCCTCCCTCTTGACTATAATTCAGTACAAATGGGATTAGGGACAGCCCTAGAAAGATGCATTGTTCTTCTCTATCAAGTCCTAAGGCAATTTCTTTTTTTTTTTTTTTTTTAATTTGAAAGTCAGAGTTACACAGAGAGAGAAGGAGAGGCAGAGAAAGAGAGAGGTCTTCCATCTGAAACGGCCGGAGCTGCGCCGATCCGACACCAGGAGCCAGGAGCCAGGAGCTTCCTCCAGGTCTCCCACACAGGTATAGGGGCCCAAGGACTTGGGCCATCTTCTACTGCTTTCCCAGGCCACAGCAGAGAGCTGGATTAGAAGTGGAGCAGCCGAAGGGGCCGGCGCTGTGGCGCAATGGGTTATGGCCCTGGCCTGAAGCGCTGGCATCCTATATGGGCACCGGTTCTAGTCCCAGCTGCTCCTCTTCCAATCCAGCTCTCTGCTATGGCCTGGAAAAGCAGTAGAAGATGGCCCAAGTCCTTGGGCCCCTGCACCCATGTGGGTGACCCAGAAGAAGCTCCTGGCTCCTGCCTTCAGATCAGCTCAGCTCCAGCTGTTGCAGCCATCTGGGGAGTGAACCAGCAGATGGAAGACCTCTCTCTCTGTCTCTACTTCTTTCTGTAACTCTGTCTTTCAAAAAAATAAAATCTTTGAAAAAAAAAAAAAAAGAAGTGGAGCAGCTGGGACTCGAACCGGCACCCATATGAGATGCCAGCACTACAGGAGGTGGCTTTACCCGCTATGCCACAGTGCCAGTCTCAAGGCTAATTTCAATAGAGTATAACCTATTGAATCAATATAGTATTGATGAACAATGGTACCTTAGGCCTTTTCTAGCTGCAGAAATTGTTATGTTCCCCAAGCCTTGAGGCCTAAGGTATGAAGCCTCATCAAGTAACATACATGTTGCATGGCTATCTGTTAAATTAGGAGCTACCATTATCTAGCACCTACAATGTACTAAACCAGGCATCGTCAAACATTTTCTATGAAAGGCCACAGTCTCTCAAGCTTTGATGGGCATCTAGTCTGTCACAACCACTCATTTCTATCTTTATGGTGTGAAAGAAGCCATAGACAATATGGACATGTTTGAGTGTGGCTGTGATCCAATAAAACTTTATTTATGAAAACAGGTTTGGATTTGTACTAACAGGTACCATTTTGTGACCCCATGCTAGGTCTGAAATAGATCTTTAATATACAAAATCTTAAATATTTTTTGTAATAATCCCATGCAGTTAGCATCATGATTTGATTTTGTAGACAAAGAAACAAGCTTGGAGAAGTTTATAATGTATCTAAGCTCACATAGCTAACAAGTGGCAAAGCCAAGATTCCAATTCTCCCAATCTCTCTTGTCATCTAAGGGGGATTTTCTTCTATCCCGTGGATCTAAGTGACACATGCCCTTTTGAAATGGTCATTTTTTTTAAAAAAAAATCAATTTTTCATAGAAACCTTTCTTAAGGTTTTTATGGGTTAGACCATGGTTATAAACAACAACAGTGACAGAACTTCACATAACAGAGTGATGCCCCTGGAGCCAGGAGCACAGCTTGCCAATGAATGGATGCTTTCAGGCACTTCTCTTCTCTCCCAGTGGTCTGCTGTCCTTGTGGCTCCCCTCATCCCTTCTGTCTGGTGTTCCGTTTCAGTTCCAAATCCTTATTATCCACAATGCACTCTCTGTTCTATTACAGGAAGAACTGGGATTGTCAAAAATAAGTTAAACCAGATAATATTACAAACTAATCTGTTATCAATAGGCTCTGGCCTTTGTGTGTAGTTTTCACACCTCTTTTCTGTATTGGGTTGAAATACATGAAATTGCCGGTTTTGTAGGTCAAACACGACAGTTTTATATGGTTCAACCTAACAGTAGAGGGCAGAGACCCCAAGACAGGCTTGTTTTTCTGGTGCTCATGAGATTTTTCTTCTGTTTACTTCCCAGTACTTCCTGGCAGATGACTACAGCTGCCAGGAGACTGACCAAAGATCCTGTGACTGCAAGCTCAGGGGCAGGGCTGAGTCAGGCTGCCTCTCCATCCCTATCTTCAAACTCTGACTGTTCAGGAACTTTTGTGTAGAAGTTCCAAACAAACTTGAAACCCTGCAAAAAAATTCTGCCAAGCCTCATAAAATATCAGAAACTTTACTTTAAAAGCAGGCATTCATCACAAAAGGGCTATGAAATGCATCATATGCTCCCCTCCATTCAAAATGGCGATGATTTCCGGAAGGCTCTGTGTGAGCATGTGTGCTATGTTTACACGTACAGAGGGCTGATCCATGTTCACGTGTGCTAAAAACAAACCAATTGGTTCAAGAAAGAAATTAGGAGACAAGGAAGATGTGTTGCCTGCAGATTCAAATTTCTGGGGGCAAACAAGAGGGACTTTAGATGACTCCTGAAGATGAGAAATCAATGTAGATGAAACTTCTAAAAAACCAACAGAAATAGCAGAAATTAATCAAAGGAGTTCATAAACTTGTAGCTTCATTTCTTCCACAAGGAAGAAAAACAATTTCCAGCTATATAGGAGATTTAGGCATTTTCCTGGAAAGATGTAGACAGAACAAGTTAAGAAAATTAAAGATTTATTAAATGTGGATTTTTTTTTTAAAAAAGAGTTATTTGAAAGGCAGAGCAATGGAAGGAAAGTGAGATCTTCTGTCCACTCCCCAAATGGCTGCTACAGCCAGGCTGGCCCAAGCTGAAGCCAAGAGCCCAGAACTGCATCTGGGATTCCCACGTGGGTGGCAGGGACCCAAGCACTTGGGTCATCATCTGCTGCCTCCCAGGTGCATCAGCAGGAAGCAAGGATCTAAGCAGAGTAGCTGAGATTTAAAAAGTCAAGTTGAATGTAGAATAGTGATTATTAGTGATTCATTTATTAAAATATATTTAGAAAAATGTAAAACAATTTAAGAGAAGTAAATGTTGTTCATACTGACCTTGTTCTCTACCTGGACATGGTCCCCTTGCCCCAGCACTGCTGTGTGATGAGGTTCTACCTTTTGTTGTGCATCATCAGGCCCTGCAAGAAGGATGACCCAGTACCTTTAACACTCATCACAGGGCATGTATCATGTAGTTACATGGTTATATCCTATTTGGTTAACTATACAGCACCGTAATATTCATTTCAATTTCAGAAATAATAGGATATATAATTATATTTCCTAGAGAAGTCTGTGTCACCTTCACTTTGGAGATAACCTACATGAGACAGCAGGGCTCATTCTGATACTTGCAGACAAGAAACAGGAGTCTAATGGATTTCTTAACCTAGAGTCAATATGCTAACAATGAGTCTGTAGCTAGAATCCAGGGCATGGGTAGACTTAGATGGAAAGTAAGTCACACGTTTAGTTTCACTAACACCTAACTGAAATGTAGCTTTTCCTTTGATCATGAATGTAATCAACAAACCAGTAAAATTAGCTGGACTCATGACTTTGTCTATAATAAAAAAAATCACAAATACTTTTACATCATATTAACTGTTGTGGGTATCTGAAAATATGGTTTATGATCTCTGCTAAGAACTCAGAGAACTGCTGCTAGATGATATTATTTCAAATGCCGTTAGAAAAGCACATATATCATAACTGTATTCTTTGAACATCTTTGCAACTTTCCTAAATCTAAAAACAGTATTCTGGGGTGGGGGATTTCAAGATATGGGACAAGTTGATAGCACAACCCAGATTAAGAAATGCTGACTAGTGTTTAACTAGTGGCTTTCAGGGATTGGGGTGGGGGCAAACCTGGTTTGTAGAGTATGCCAATTTCCACAGTATAAATGCTCCCACTAGGGCCAATTTCAAGTACTAATGTGAGGTCAGGGAACAGGTGCACATCAGCTCCTGTAAGTTGCTGAGAGCCAGCCCAAGCATAACACTCAAGAGTGCTTCTCTATCAAAAGATTTAGGTCAACAAACGTCATGGATGTGAATGCTAGAACTCCGCTGCTTCTCCACTAATGAAGGGATATGGCAATAAAAGAGAGGTCCGGAGGGGAAGAAGCAGCTCATTTAGAGTTGGATAATAGTTTCAACTGCGACAAGGAGCAGCATTTTATTAAGTGTGCTTTACCAGAATCCCCTGGGAGCAATGAGCTGTGTCTTTATCTGCAACTAATTCATATATTACACTCATTCCCCATGTGGGGCCACTCCTGGCCCCTAATTTTGTCATGTAGGGTGTTTCACGATACATAGACCAAAACAGTTTGCAAGCCCCTTCAGTAGGTTTTAACGGAGCGAGCCGATTAAGAGACAGCGCTCACAAGCAATGCTGGGCGGCTACTTCTCCACACCGCCTATGAGGACAGTGCTTCACTGCAGTGCTTACTGGTCTGCGAGGAACTTCCAATTTAGAAACAAATGCTTCCGTTTTTGCAAAGGCTCGAATACGAACTTCATATGGCGTATAATTTCTGCCCTTTTCCCTTGCACATTGCCAGGTGTAAGTGTTCCTTAGCTTCTGTATTATCAAGTGAAATGTTTAAAGGGCGGTCACAGAAAGCAAAGACTGATTGTGTCTTCATGTCCAGGTCCTCGCTACGAGAGTTCATTCATCAGGTTATCTCCTGAACTTAAGAAAAGTCACCAAGGAAATGCATCGTGTTGTTTCTGACTACTTTCAGTTATAAATATGGCCACATCAGATCATAAAGGGTTTCCATTGAGAGTCTTTGCCAAGAATGCTACATCTAGTAGTGCCATTAAGGGAAATTTAACTGAAAACAATTTGACTGCAATACTTTTTTGCCTGAACAGTTATAAAAGGGCAAACTCCTTTGAAACACACTTAAAGTTAGTGCCGCGTCTTCGGTGTAGGATTCACTGCTGTGCAACTGTTGTGCGTATGCCGTCTTTTCTTCTTCCTATTCTAAGAATTGCTGCCCCACTTCCCCTGTGTCTCACACAACCTAGGACTTCCATCATAGATGCTGATAGAATCTATTTTACACATATAGCTGAAGCCTCTTACTTGATGCTTTCCCAAGGCTTACTCCATTACTTTTACATATTTTTAATTGAAATACATAATTGAAATTATTGGTGCAATTGGCACAAGCAGATTGAGAACAAACCCAGCTGCCCTGAAGTCTCCGCTGGCACGAGCAGCAATGGGCAGGTTGGCAGGAGGAGCTGGCCACCTCCCTCCAGGCATTCTTCAAAGAACGCGTGGCACTGCTCAATGCAGCCTGCGGGACCGGTGCAGTTTAGTTAAGAGGGCTTCCGGCATGTTCACAAGTGTCTCCAGGCAGCACTGAAGGAGTTGCACAATGGCATAGAGCAAGCAGCAGGCATTTGACAGAGAAAGCAAAAGTACACACACTCCCCCGTCAGAGCGTCAGAGTGTGGGCTCATGCGGAGAGCAGTGGCCCCTTCTCTGAGGGCTGTTTAACATTATATGGATTGCTTAATGAAGGGACAGGTGCATTCTAATAAACGGGAGGGATATTGATGGTTTTTCAGGGAAGAAGGCGGAGAGTTCACTCCTCATATGGTTCATTGTGTCCTGTCATGGCAGCAGGCAGGTATGTCATTTCGTGTGCTAATATATCCCAATGAGTGTATAAGGAGCTGTAGGTCAATGTAGGTCAGCCTTGGCCCCCAACCTGTTAGGAGCCTGGTCCAGGCGGGAGGTCTGTTTGTCTTCAGAGCAAGAAGAAGCAAACCCATATCTGTAGGCCATTTCTGTAAGCCCCAGGTGCCCCAACCACTCCGTCTGTCTTCCTGTCTCACAGGAACCATGTCAAACTTCTCAAAATTCACCCAGTGCCAGAAGCAAAAGGTTGAGCACAAACTAAGCATGAATAGTTGCTTTTAAAAATAAGATTGAAACATTTTACTACCTTCAAAAACCAGTTAGCTGTCATTTCAGTGACTGCAGATAAATATTTTTAGGTTTCCAAATACATTTTCTAAGCACCAACAGGATATTGCCCTGGATCCCTCTAGGGGATGGGCCTTCAAACTGAAAGGCCATTCCAAGTTTCAAGGACACAGGACGTAAACTCTTTTACCTTTCAGATCTCTGCATTTATGTGTCATGTCATTTTCATCACAGCTGCTGGCGAGAGATGCAGTACTAGTGTCTGTGGGAACTACTGCTTTTCTGACCTGGTGAAGTTTATGCTCTTTTGATTTTTCTTTTCACCACATGCTGCACAGATTCTAACTGAGGGTGCTCAAAGGACATTTTCCCCCAGTGCGACTGCTGTCAAAGTGATATGGACGAGGAGGCAGTTAGCAAGGAGGAGCTGAGGTTACCAGCCCTGCAGCCCTGCAGCCCTGCCTGCTCTGCCCCTCCCCTTCTCCCCTTTCTATGCAGTGGAAAACCATAGCTTCCATGCAACTGCTGCTCAGACCTGGCACTGACCCAAAATAACCAACATGGCTGCTGACTGCATCCCCATGACGACTTTTTGCTAATTATTATATCATTACAATAAAATTGCTATGGCTGACATTCCTGCTCCCATCATGTGCCTGATGCCATGACACTTCAAGATTTACAAGAGTGCAAGGAAATGGGCAGTACTCAAACCTCACCCTAAACCACACCCCCTAGAATATTCAATTAAATCATGCCCCAAACACCACCCTCCATGACTCCAGATCACATAAAAGGATGACCCTAAAAATCATTGAGTTCAGTTCACTTTTAAGCATTCCACACCCCCTTTCAAGCATGTACTTTCACTTTGCATGCAAATAAACCTTATTCCTCTGCTGACCTTAACCTATGTCTCACCATTGAACTCTTTTCTTGCATCAGCAACAAGAACCTGGACCCAGCCAACTGATGACATCTTGACCTAGCAACCTATGACAAAGTACCCCTCCCCTCCAACCTGTAGAGTTTTGAAAGCTACTATTCAATAGTCAGCATCAAAGGCTCTCCATTTGCAAAAAGTATCAAACATTAATGAGATCCTCAAAAGCATAAAATGAATACTTTCAAATGAACTTCAGGGGCCGGAGCCATGGCTCACTTGGTTAATCCTCTGCCTGCAGCACCAGTATCCCATATGGGCGCCGGTTCTAGTCCTGGCTGCTCCTCTTCCAGTCCAGCTCTCTGCTGTGGCCCGGGAGAGCAGTGAAGGATGGTCCAGGTGCTTGGGCCCTGCACCCGCATGGGAGACCAGGAGGAAGCACCTGGCTCCTGCCTTCGGATCGGCGTAGCGTGCTGGCCATAGCGGCCATTTTGGGGGTTGAGATGGCAGCCATCTTGGGAGTGAGATGGCAACCATCTTGGGGGGGTGAACCAACAGAAGGAAGACCTTTCTCTCTGTCTCTCTCTCTCTCACTGCCTATAACTCTACTTGTCAAATAAAAAAAAAATGAACTTCAAATGAATATTTTCTTTTTAATAAAAAAGTACTAATTCTATTCTTATTTTAGCTCTGTTAATGCCTTCGTTAGAGGACATGATTTCATTATATGTACCTTATACCTTAAAATGCCTAACTTTGACAACTGCTTTGATGTCCATAGTTTTCTAATGTTTAAGTGTCCACTTGTCTGTACTGAAACTAAATCTACCAATGTCCACGTTTTAGATATTTCCTCTATCAATTAATATTTTAATAGCCCTTCTAAAATTCTTTTTTATGCAATCTTTCCAAATTACGTTCTCTTTTTTTTAAGATATTTTTATTTCTTTTTCATGCAATCTTTCCAGATTACGTTCTCTCTTTTTTTTTTTTTAAGATCTTTTTATTTTACTTGAAAGGTAGAGTTACAGAAAGGGAATGGCAGAAGCAGAGAGAGAGAGAGAGGGAGAATCTTCCACCTGCTGGTTCACTCTCCAAATGGCTGCAATGCTGGAACTGGGCCAGTCTGAAGCCAGGAGTCAGGAGCTTCTTCTGGGTCTCCCATGAGAGTGCAAGAGCTCAAGGACTTGGGCCATCTTCAGCTGCTTTTCCAGGTGCATTATCACAGAGCTGGATGGGAAGCGGAGCAGCCAGGACTCGAACCAGCGCCCATATGGGATGCCGGCACTGCAGGTGGCAGCTTAACCCGCTACACCACAGCACCAGCTCCTCCAGATTACTTTTTCAACCCAAATTGCAGCCTATTTTTTCTAGCTCAATACATCAAGTGTACATATTCATATTTATAACATTTACCTCAACAGAACAGAGGTGCTTAATGTTTTGAAAAACACAATTACTTGCTTACTGGCTGCTGCCATCCCAGTTTTATAAGCGAGACCACTCTGAGGGAGTAGTCAGGAGGCATTCACTGATTTCTCTCTGAAGATTTATTTAAAAGTCAGTGTCATCAAAGGAGGTACCTTTCTCTGAAGGGAGGAAAGAACTTCCACTTTGACCATGGCCTTGTCTAAAAATTATCAGTCAGTGAACTCAGGGGGCTTCCATAGCCTTGGCAGCTCATGACAAGATCCTAGGTTGATTACTGATGCCATAAACAAGAGTGTCAATTTGTTAAGTCAACAACAGGAGTCACTGTGCACTTACTCCTCATGTAGGATCTTTGTCCTTAGTGTGCTGTACATTGAGATTTAATGCTATAACTAGTACTCAAACAGTATTTTTCACTTTATGTTTCTGTGTGGGAGCAAACTGTTGAAATCTTTACTTAATGTATGCTAAACTGATCTCCTGTATATAAAGAGAAATGAAAATGAATCTTGATGTGAATGGAAGGGGAGAGGGAGTGGGAAAGGGGAGGGTTGCGGGTAGGAGGGACGTAATGGGGGGGAAGCCATTGTAATCCATAAGCTGTACTTTGGAAATCTATATTCATTAAATAAAAGTTAAAAAAAAAGTCAGTGTATTTCAACCGCTTATTTCTGTTTTGCCATTTCTTTTTCTCTGATTTGTTCTTGCACTTTTGTTTTGCTCATTAACATCCTTACTAGGGGCTGGGGTGGAGGAAGGGAAGGAGATAAAATTCAAATGAGGTCATTTGGCCACTCATTGGTCAAAGCAGGGTCCTAGGAGACCAATTTGTGAGCTGGATTCTCCCCAAGGTCCAGTGTCATCTGGACAGATGTGTCCCACTCTGAGGCTACAGACTGAACCCTATCTCTTGCCAGATGTTTTGCACCCGTGGCCCACAGTCATGAGGGGGAATCAGGCCAGCAGGAGAGATGACTCAGCAAAATCCTGCCTGACCTGAAGAAAAACAAGTAGAGGCGTGGCTCATTCTTGGCCTGAGAACTGTAGAGCTTTCTACTTGTTACCTTCTCACATCAAGGGTCTGTGAGGAAGCAAGGCTGTTGCCAGCCATTAAAACAGGTTTTGAAGATCACTTGTTAATTTTTCTCCTTTCATGCTCTGCACTGTACATTTAAACAATGTCATTTATTTATTTATTTATTTTTAAAATTTATTTATTTATTTGAAAGGCAGAGTTACAGAGAGGCAGAGGCAGAGAGAGAGAGAGAGGTATTTCACATGCTGGTTCACTCACTCCCCAGTTGGCCACAAGGGCCAGAGCTGTGCCAATCCAAAGCCAGAAGCTTCTTCTTAGTCTCCCACATGAGTGCAGGGGCCCAAGGACTTGGGCCATCTACCACTGCTTTCCCAGGCCACAGCAGAGAGCTGGATTGGAAGTAGAGCAGCTGGGGCTAGAACCGGCGTCCATATGGGACGCCAGCACTGCAGGTGGCAGCTTTACCTGCTACACCACAGAGTCAGCCCCTAAACAATGTCATTTAAAACCAGAATCAACAATGTGTGTTGTCCTGGAGCCCACAGGCTTAGAAAGGTTTTTTGCCTTTTTAGGTGTTTGGGCAGGGCGGGGCGGGGGGGGGGTGGAAATGGCATTTCATGACATGAAAAGCACATGCCACTCCTGCTTCAGTGGCTCTGAATAAAGTTGTGTTGGAACAGGCGGCCTATTATGGACCGCGGGGAAGGGCTTTTGTGCTACACAAGCAGGGTGGAGCGGTCGCAACTGAGACTGTGGCCCAGAGATGAAAACCTGAGTTACTTGTGATCGCACCCTTTACAGTTTGCTTCCCCATGCTTTTTCTCATCCAGGCCAACATTTCTAGCATCCTTAGCACCAAAGAATCCGTGTACTTTATTACTTTCCATGTGTGCAGATTATTTTTGTTGCTCTTGAAATCATCAATCAGGGTTGCTACTTCCATAAACATGTTTTCTATTTTTATAAAGTACTATGTGTTTCTCAGGATTTTCAGAAGATCATAAACAGAAATGATGCTTCATCTCTTCGGCTACTATAGGCTAATGGGTGCACATGGACTCATGATGCTACTGCTGGTTGTTTTATTTCCCCACACTTTCTTGAATGCTAAAACAAACAGATGCTGCTCAGTGAAAAGGGAACTAAGCCTGTTTATATCACATTAGGAATAAGTTCCAAACACTGTTATTCATTCTGGAAGAATAAGCTCAAGCAATCGGATGCCCTTTTTGGAGAATATAAGGATGGCTTAACTATCTCTGGGTGTGGCCTTCCAGCCCTGAGCAGGTGTTACCAAGAAGCTAGCTGTCTGTAGCTGCAAGTGTGCTGCTTCGGGAGGTGGGCGTTTTAGGGCACCAGGTAATTCGCTGCTGGCATGCCTGCGGGAGGGGAGGGTGGAGAGCAGGAAGCACCTGTCTCAGCAATGGGGATTCTTGGCCCGCATCTTGGGATGTCCCTGCTCCATCCACACCACCGGTCACTGTCCAAGAGGATGAGGAGAGGCAAAGAGGAGGCCGGTTCTCCCCCTTCAGGCTTTCCCAGAAGCACTAGTGAGGGTGCGGATTCCGGTGTAAGGGTTTATTTGGAACGTGATCCCAGGAAACAACAGTCCAGAAGGTGGGAGAGTTAGGAAAGGGGAGGCTGACAGCGAAGTGGGTGTCATCAAGCAGAACCCCCTGTGGCTGGTTCCAGCACAAGGCCACTGGGAAACTCTAGCAAAGGGTCTCTCACACGAGCCTCACAGCGCCCCACCTGCGAGGTCAGAGAGCACCCAGAAGAGTGCATTTTCCTGCACTTGCAGCCTGTCCTCAGTGGCAGAGCAGCCCTCCCAGGTGGCAAGGAAAGCCTTCTGGCTAAGCAACGCGGATGCTGGCTGCTGGCTGCTGGCAGCTGGTGGGTGGGCACTGAGGAAGCAGGGCCCCGGGGATGTGGGTGAGGCACCACAGCATCTCCACAGCCATTTTCTGTCAATCCCACAGAGCTGTTTCCAGGAACCCCTGGGAGGTTTCCTCTACCCCTCCATCCCTTGGTGCTTCTGCTGCTGAGATAAGGGATTTAGACTTGAAAAGACAAACATGAGGACGAAGAGTACAAGGGACAGTATGGACAGTGGGGTTGAGGAGGTTCTACTGCCAGGTCTACCAACACACAAGCCTGGAAACTTATGTAACTTTCTTTAGATCTCACATTCCTCATCAATCACATCAAGATTGGTTGAGGGGCCGCACTGTGGCATAGCAGGTAAAGTCACCGCCTGCAGTGCCAGCATCTCATATGGGCACCCGTTCTAGTCCCAGCTGCTTCACTTCTGATCCAGCTCTCTGCTATGGCCTGGGAAAGCAGTGGAAGATGGCCCAAGTCCTTGGGCCCCTGCACCTGCTTGGAAGAAGCTCCTGGCTCCTGACTTCAGATAGGCCCAGCTCCAGCTGTTGCAGCCAATTGGGGAGTGAACCAGCAGATGAAGACCTCTCCCTCTCTCTCTATGTAACTGACTTTCAAATAAATAAATAAATATTTTTTAAAAAAGAGCCGGTTGAGTCTCAAACACTCCTTTTTGATGAGCCTCAATAAGCAACACATACACAACCTTCAGAAGAGAAGAGAGGCAACTTTGCAATCTCTCAGAGGCACCTGGGACTACAACTGCACTTCCTTCCACCTGCCAGGGGACAGACACCATCCTGCTCCCCTTGCAGCCCAGTGTGGCACCATGCTCTTATCAGGATGCCAGTTGCCAACCTGCCAGCAAGTTCTGGTGTTCATACGCTCCTCCCTTACAGGACATTCTGGAAGCTGAGAGGCACCCTGCCCTGGGTGTACCTGTACTGGCATGGAGAGTGTTGTTATGAGAGGAATGAAGGAATAGTATTCAGTTATATAAAATGGTTTCAATCCACTTTTTCTCCACACTCAGCATTAAAAATAAAATTGCGATTGAACCCAAAGTAACATACCCATAACTTACCAATATACACATCTCCAGATATGGTGTAGATGAAGCTTGTCCACCCTGCAAAGGGACCAGCAACATTAAAATGTCAGTGCCCATGACATGAAAAAGAACAACGAGATCTATCACATAGATAAAAAGCAAAATTGGAGATGAAATCCTTGATTTTCTTTTACATATATACATATTTAAAGATTTATTTATTTATTTAAAAGGCAGAGTTACATAGAGAAAGAAGGAGAGGCAGAGAGAGAGAGAGAGAGGTCTTCCATCTGCTGGTTCACTCCCCAATTGGCTGCAATGGCCATAGCTAGGCCAATCTGAAGACAGGAGCCAGGAACTTTTTCTGGGTCATCCACATGGGTGCAGGGGCCCAAGGACTTGGGCCATCTTCTACTGCTTTCCCAGGCCATAGCAGAGAGCTGGATGGGAAGTGGAGCAGCCAGGACTCGAACCAGCGCCCATATGGGATGCCGGCACTGCAGGCGGCAGCTTTACCCACTATGCCACAGCGCCAGCCCCTAGATATATATTTTAGGATTTAAGGCCACCCAGCACTACAGTGCTGCAGCAGAGGGTGCACTGAATGCATTTGTGTGTATTTAGTTGCTGGGATGGGAAGAGAGTGAAGGATGAGTCTATGGAGGGCAAGAAAAGCAGCCCTGGGCCTGGGCCCTCCTTATCTGCCTGCACTGATGCTAACGTTCATCTATTCAGAAGACCCAGTTAGGGAGCGAATGAGCAGGTATTGTTCTGTTCTGTGTTTAATGCATCTCTCAGTTCTGGAGCCTTTTTTTTTTTTAAGAGGGGGAGGTATTATTAACAAAGAGGTCTTACCTGCAGAGTTCAAATGAGTTTTTCCAACATTTTATTATGAACACTTTTAAGATACGTAAAAAGTTGAAAAAAACTCATGTGAACATTCTTATCCACCACTCAAATCTTCCATTGAAGTTTTAGTCATCTTGATCACGTTCTCATCCACATGTCTGTCCACAAATGCATGAACTTTGCTTCTCTGATCATCCCTGTCTTCCACATCCCTCTCAAAATAGAGGACATTTTCATCACTTAAGAAAGTTCTCCATTCTGCTTTGAAATAGTCTGTACAATAAATCTGTTTTTGAAAGGTGCTTCAGGAAAAAAAAAAAGATTTAAAATCTGCAACCCCAGGGGTCAGTACTGTGGCACGGAAGGTTAAGCTGCTACTTTCAAAGCCAGTATCCCATATGGGAGCACCGGTTTGAGTCCTGGCTACTCCACTTCCTATCCAGCTTCCTGCTAGTGTGCCTAGGAAGGCAGTGGAAGATGGCCCAAGTGCCTGGGTCCCTGCCACCCACACAGATGGAATTCCAGGCTCCTGGTTTCAGCCTGGCCCAGCCCTGGCTGTTGGGTAGGGAACCAGCAGATGAAGATCTCTCTCTCTCTCTCTCTCTCTCTCTCTCTCTCTCTCTCACAGTTTTTAAATTCTGTGAGCTGTTTAAAATTCACACTCGATGTCCTAAATAGCACTCTGGCCTCAGAATCAGCCCTAAAGGCATTCGGATCTGGCTGAAAAGCCCATGAGAGTATTTCAGGCATGGAAAGCCAAGACACTCTGGCAAAAGATCTCTGCGAGTGAGATCCCAGTGGAAAGAACAGGTCTTCAAAGAAGAAGGGAGGAGAGAACCTCCACTTTGACTATGACCTTGTCTAAACAAGATAAGCATCTGAGAACTCAGAGGGCTTCCATAGCCTTGGAAACTCATGACTGGAGCATAGGGAGACTACTGATGCCATAGACAGGAGTGTCAATTGGTAAAGTCAACAACAGGAGTCACTGTGCACTTACTCCTCATGTAGGATCTCTGTCCTTAATGTGCTGTGTATTGAGATTTAATGCTATAACGAGTACTCAAACAATATATTTCACTTTGTGTTTCTATGTGGGTGCAAACTGTTGAAATCTTTACTTAATGTATACTAAACTGATCCTCTGTAAAAAAAAAAAAAAAAAGAAATTATCAACTCCCAACTTGACTCTCACTGGGATTAAACATGACAATAGGTCTGATCTGATTTCATCATCATTTAAAAAAAATCATCTATTATTTTTCACTTTATGTTTCTGTGTGGGAGCAAACTGTTGAAATCCTTACTTAATGTATACTAAGCTGATCTTCTGTATATTAAGATAATCGAAAATGAATCTTGATGTGAATGGAAGGGGAGAGGGAGTGGGAAAGGGGAGGGTAGTGGGTGGGAGGGACGGTATGTGGGGGAAGCCATTGTAATCCATAAATCGTACTTTGGAAATTAAAAAAAAAAAAGTAAATCAGTATGTACGATAAAAAAAAAGAAATAATATTCAATTTATATTCTTAAAATATAACAAATGATATCTATTTTTTTTAGGTAGGAGAAGGCAGAAGTGCAAAGATTGTGTACCTTATCCTTAGTGATAAATCTGAAATAATTTAATTTAGAAGTTTATTCAGTAAAATGATCTTTTTCTCAAAATTGTATGCCATTTTTCAATAAACAAAACAATTACTATAAAAACAAACAAAAAAAATTCACACTCACACACACTCATTTTCTCTCTCTCTCTCTCTCTCTCACACACACACACACACACACACATACACACACACTCAGACCCATCCCTAAACCTGAATGACTTGGCCCCAAATGTTTAAGATCCACCCAGAGCAGACAATGAACAACTCTTCCCTTGGCTGTCTATCTATATGCCAGATGTTGTGTTAACAAAACAAACTGTTCCTTTCTGTTCCGACATCATGCTGTTAACTTCAACTTTCCAGTCAGGCTTCATCTTCAGTTTGTTGTGTCTCCAGGTAGTATCAAATATGAATATAGTGCTTATTGTACATAATTCCATTCTAGCTTCCAGTGAACGCATGTCTTTCAATCTGTCCTAAGATAGAGCAGCTCCAGGGATGTATAATCTTTGAAATATGAGTGGGTTTCACATGGCCTGCGAATTCCCTGGAATTGTCCACACAACTTTTCAGGTGTGTACATGTTTCTGTGAAGAGGGTACAGAACATTGGCCAGCTTACCACCAGGAGCCACAGGCCCAGGAGATCAGAAGCAGCAACAACCCACCATTCGCACTCCCAGTACCTGCACTTAATTTCACAGATAGTCATGGAATGGACCCATGGCCTGAAAGACATGCTGTGCTTCCCCTGACAGACAGGAACCTAGAAATGGCGAGCTCAAAACAGTTAGGATTCCCCCCTGTGCCCTCAGTGGAAAAGGAAGCCTGGAAAGGGAATGCAGGGCAGAGCTCAACGCTGGAAGGACAGGGCTGACTGAGGCTGGAGTCTGGGGCAGAGGGAGCGAGGAAGAAGAAACACAGGACAATGATACGGCTGTGACGACGGATGGACTGAAACATAAGAGAGCAGCATCTCTACAGAGAACATCTATAATTGATAAAAACCCAGCACAAATTGAGTCTCGTTAAGAAACGTGAAGGATGGGGAAACACACACACTTGGGTGGATGCCAGATGGTGTTTCTTCATCTTTCCATTTCACAGTTCTCCCTCTCTGAGATCTTACAAGACAGAGTAAGTTGAAGCCATCTGTAAGTAATGCTATGCACTCACGATTCGCTCACTCTTTGTCTCTGTTATTAACCCACACACTTCATCCTTAGAGCTCGGGTCTACCATCATTCACTGAGTATCTGCCGTGGGCACCCACTGCTGGGGGAGCTACCCAGACAACTAAGGCACAGCCAGGCGGGTCCAGCGGCTGCTCAGTGCTCCTATGCCTATTCAGCCTGACTTACAATCACACTCCACAATAAACCCCCTTTCTTCTCTGCTTTTAAAAAGTTTTGCCATTGAAAATTGTTGAAGAACCTTTTCAAAGCACAAATGATCATTTTCTTTATTATCAAAAGGACAGGTAATTTTTTTTTTATTTGACAGGTAGAGTTATAGACAGTAAGAGAGAGAGACAGAGAGAAAGGTCTTCCTTTCGTTGGTTCACCCCCCAAGATGGCCGCTATGGCCAGCCCGCTGCGCTGATCCGAAGCCAGGAGTCAGGTGCCTCCTCCTGGTCTCCCATGTGGGTGCAGTCGCCCAAGCACTGGGGCCATCCTCCACTGCACTCCTGGGCCACAGCAGAGAGCTGGACTGGAAAAGGAGCAACTGGGACAGAGTCCGGTGCCCATATGGGATGCTGGCACCGCAGGCGGAGGATTAACCAAGTGAGCCACGGCGCCGGACCCAGGACAGGTAAATATTAAAATATTTTAAGGATGCGAATGTGTGGAGCATGGAAACAAAATCTATAATATTCATACCGACCTTGACATAAACACTGTTAGCAATTTGGTATTTGTGCTTTCATGGTTTCTTCCTTTTATGCGCTATATATTATTTGCTTAGAAACTAGAACAGGGGCCGGCGCTGTGGCATAGTAGGTAAAGCCTCTGCCTGCAGTGCCGGCATCCCATATGGGCGCTGGTTCAAGTCCCAGCTGCTCTACTTCCGATCCAGCTCTCTGCTATGGCCTGGGAAAGCAGCAGAAAATGGCCCAAGTCCTTGGCCCCTGCACCCATGTGGGAGACCCAGAAGAAGCTCCTGGCTCGTGGGTTCGGATTGGCGCAGCTCCAGCCATTGCAGTCACTTGGGGAGTGAACCAGTGGATGCAAGACCCCCTTCTCTCTCTCTCTCTGCCTCTCTCTGCCTCTCCTTTCTCTGTGTAACTCTGACTTTCAAGTAAAATAAATAAATCTTTAAAAAAAAAGAAACTAAAACAAACTCAGTGTTCAACTTTGGACAATTTTCTATGTCAAAACATAGAGAAGTAACTCAGTCTTGGGAAAGAGTGCATAGCATTCCATCGTAAGGACCTGTCATAATTTATATAACCAATCCCCTCTTCATGGGTTAAAGCTATTAAAATTGTTTATGCATTTGACAAAATGTCAAAGCTCTCAATTGATCAACTTTTTTTTAAATTTGGGACCACTTTGATTGTTCTAATCTCTTTCTCCTCCATCTTCTTTGCTTCCTCCTCACCCTCCCACCAGAAGCTTGGTCCACACATACTTGCCTAGGTCTGTTTTCTTTCCATTTTTATCTTTTCTACATGATCCAGAAGGACCAAACTTTTGCTCCTAGGAATGGCCAAGTGTACTTATTAAGTGCATCCACTTATTTGTGCTCTTTGCAGAAGTCTTCTATTAGGACAGAGTCCATCTCTGGCAGTTAACAACACAGTTCACAGGGCATATGCATATGCACTGCTTGCTTTAAACCTTGTTTAATTTTCACTAAGTATCATTTCTTAAGGCTACCACAAGGGAAACAGTGCCACATTGTGTGAATGTTTATTACATGTTCAACAACAACCACATTTTATCAGAGTTCCCTCTCTCCTAAGAGCAGGATTACATCAGCAAAGAGCTCTGTGTAAAAGTTTCAGGGCCTTGCATCTTTTTCTTCTTCTACTTCTCCTCCCTTTTTCAGGCCCTGCACCAGGAACTGTGCCATTCCCAAACGCTCACTGCTCCGTCAGAGGTCACACCCCCATTTGCTTTTCTTCTGCAAGTGTGGTCTCCAAGCTACTGTCAGCTGGGAGGCTCTTCCCTTCCCTTGGGCAATGGTAAATAACAGCTGGGATGGAGACTGCATTTTTCCTTCTGGCCCCTTGAGGAGAGTTAAGTCAGTAACAAAGTGAAGTCAGATCACTTCTAGCCAAATACAAAACATGTAAAATGTTTCTTTTTGTCGCTCCCCGTCTTCGTGGAGGAACAACACAGGACCCCGCGCTGTTCTTTTGTCTGCTCGGCCCTCCCCGGGTTTGCTGCTGGTTCTTCCCGGGTTGGCTACTGTCCCTTCCACCTCCGTGGAAGGGCGGTTCCCCCTGCCACTTTCCCCACTTCCGCGGGGGAGCGGCACACCGCCGACCGGCTCTCTCAGGGGCTGCACAGGTGTTCCTTCAGATAGATGTTCCTGGTGCATGTTGTCTCTCTCCTCCTTTATAGTCCTCTTCCGCCAATCCCAACTCGGCTGCCCACACGCCGAGTACGCTGCTCTCCTCCAATCAGGAGCAGTATCAGCTCCTGCAGGTCATCACTCAAGTTGGCAAGAGGCAGCTGCGTAGAAGCTGTTTTCTCCTCTCCCAGCGCCATATTGTGGGAGAGCAGATGCATAGAATAAGTCTTAATTCCAGTAACAGTCTAGTCCGAGTTGCTCCCCACACTTTTAAATATGTAAATCATTTTCTGTGGCATTTGCTTGAATTTCCAGGGAGGTTCTCAATTCTTGCAAATGTCCCTAGTGACAGCCTTTCTCAGCCTACATTTCTTGCTTTGACCCAGATCATATTCCTTCTACCTCACTCTTAGGCTTCATTATTCCAATGAGCTTCCAACTACTCCTTCTGCATGTATGTAGGGAGAAAGCAGACAAACAGGACCTCGTGACGTACCACATCTCTAAGAGAGGTCAGCTCTGGGGAAAGGAGAGAGACACACAGGACAGAAGAGGGAATGCACTTGCCCCAAACTCTCGGTCATCCTGGCTGCCAAGCCCTGAAGCACCCCTGATTCCTAAGAGCCTCCCCGACCCCAGAAGTGCCTGCACACAGCAATTGCCGCACCATGGAGCCACGCCTGGCTTCTTGGGGCAGAAGGCAAAATTGCTTGGTCCTCCCTACACCTGCCTCCATTCCACCACATTATTTTGTAGTTTTTATTTTGAAATAATTTCAGACACACAGTAAAACTACTATTGAGAATGACTATACACGATCACTCAGATTCCTGAAAAGCTAACATGTTATCCTGCCATAAAAATGTCATTCTTTTTTTGAAATACTTGAGAGTAACTTGCACACATAACACCCTCTATCTTGAAATAATTTTCAGTCTATAGTTCCTAAAAATAGGGATATTTCCCTACAAAAGCATAGTGTACTTATAAAAACTATGAAATTAACACTGATACTATTCTATTCTCTATATACAGATTTTCAAATTGTATTAACTGTCAACTGTTGGGGTAATCCCTTTTATGGAAAAAAGAAAAACAAATTTCTAAGCCAGAATCCCACACTACCATTAGCTGTCCTATCTAATCTTCCTTCATCTCAAGCAGTTCCTCAGTGTTTTTCTTCCATGAAATGTACAGACTAGTTATTTCACAAAATGTCCCTCAGTTCGGATTTCCTGTATATTTCCTCATCATTAGAATGAATTGTTTACTAATATCTTTCCCTCCAAGATTTCGAGAACTTTCATTCATCTTCAATATTTTTATTTTTTAATTCACAAGCACACAAAGGATGAAACTAATGGACATATATGTTGCCATATTTATTTCTTAAAGATAAGAAAGGAAAGATCCTTTCTTTTCAAATAAAACTGTACAGGAGAAAGCAGTGACCCCTAACTGGTTACCTCCAATCCATTTTCTACACACAGTGAACTGGACATCTCTAGAAGCCCCACTTGAAACCCTCCAGGCTCCCTGTTCTCCCAGGACAAGCCTGAACTCCTCATCCTGACAAGTAGATGCTTCTCAACCTGGTCTTACACTTCTCCAGGAATATTGTCCTCTGTGTGCTCTCCCTTCATATTTAATTCAATCCAGCAAACCCCTCCTGGGGAACAGTGGAAATACAGAGCAACAGCACATTTTAAATGGGCTTTAAAACGAGGGTGTTTGGTGCAGTGGTTAACAAACCACTTGAAATGCCTGCATTTCATACCAGAGTGTCTGGGTTTGTGTCCTGGTTCTGCTTCTGATTCCAGCTTTCTGCTAATGCACGCCCTGGGAGGCAGCAGGTGATGGCTGGAGTATGTGGGTCCCTACTTCCCACATGGGAGACCTGGAGTGAACTCTGGGCTCCTGGCTTCAGCCTGGCCCAGCTCTGGTTGTTGCAAGCATTTGGGCAGTAAACCAACAGACAGAAAATATCTCTTATTTCTAAATAAATAAATAATAAAATGGACTTTCTTGAGCCCTGGTGAACAAATCAACTAACAAACTATAAAACAAAAACCAAAATGAACACATATAATTATAGGCAGGAAGTATAGGTTTAAACATCAGCATATCACCTACTGGGAAATCTGGGACCAGGCATGTTTCTTGAAAAATATATTTTTCTAGAAATGATGCTTTTTTTTAAGATTTATTTTTATTTCATTTGAAAGGCAGAGTTACAGACAGATCTTCCATCCACTAGTTCACTCCCCAAATCGCTGCAATGGCTGGGGCTGTGCCAGGCCAAATCCAGGAGCCAAGAGTTTCTTCCAGATCTCCCATGTGGGTGCAGGAGCCCAAGCACTTGGACCATCTTCTGCTGCTTTCTCAGGTGCATTAGCAGGGAGCTGGATTGGAAGTGGAGTACTCGCGCCTCAAATCGGCACCCATATAGGATGTTGGCATCACAGTCAGCAGCTTTACCCACTATGCCATAACGCCAGCCCCGTGACTGAGTATTTTAACATGCTATTGGTGAGTAGAGGGCTTTGCAAAAAACTACCCGAGTTATTTTTCCTCATTTATTTATTAATTATTTATTTTTACAGGCAGAGTGGACAGTGAGAGAGAGACAGAGAGAAAGGTCTTCCTTTGCCGTTGGTTCACCCTCCAATGGCCACCGCAGCTGGCGCACCGCGCTGATCCGATGGCAGGAGCAGGTGCTTCTCCTGGTCTCCCATGGGGTGCAGGGGCCAAGCACCTGGGCCATCCTCCACTGCACTCCCTGGCCACAGCAGAGAGCTGGCCTGGAAGAGGGGCAACCGGGACAGAATCCGGCGCCCCGACCGGGACTAGAACCCGGTGTGCCGGCGCCGCTAGGCGGAGGATTAGCCTAGTGAGCCGCGGCGCCGGCCTATTTCCTCATTTATTTTTAAATTTTTATCCATGAAGTAAATCATGTGTTTCATACAGTGAACAAAATTAGCTGTTGCTTTCTCCATGAAAACACCCCCAAATCTAAAATTCTCTACAAATCCTTCAGGTTTGTGACATTCTCCCTGAAAGTAGAGAACAACTCTCTGCCAAGCTATCAGGCAGGAACCCTTAGGAAAACTCACCACGCGTCTCTGCAGGCTTACTCACATCTCGTTTTTTAATCACAAATGAGACAGAGCGGGAGGGGGAGGGTAGAATCACTGCTCATAGCTGAGTCACACCTGGAAAACCGCGTGGCACTGTGAACCAAGATCCTAAGTGTGGCAGCAGACTCGGAGGTGTCCCCATGACTTTTGCCTCTTGGAGTTGCCCCATGCCATCTCCTCTCTCTCTGTGGGCTGTGCCCGGACACTTGCTTCCAACCAGGAGACTACAGCAAAGGTTAGGGGATGTCACTTTCGAGATTGAGTTACCTAAGGACTCTGGATTCCATGCCTCTCATTGTCTATGCTTTCTCACTTGCTCTGCTGGAGCCAGCGGCCACGTTGTGAGCTGCCCTATAGAGAGGCCCACGTGGCAAGGAACCAAGAGCCAACTCTAGCAACAACCCCACGAGTACGAGCTTGCAAAGTACATCCTTCTCAACTGAGCCCCAGAGGACATCCTGACTGCAGCCTTGTGCGGGTCCTGAGCCAGAGGGGACAGCTAAGCTCTGAGGCATGCTGAGACAACACCCATTGTTCTGGGCACTAAGATTTGGAGCCGCGTGTTCTGTGGCCTATTGATAACCAATACAATAATATTTATTTAAAGATATCATAATATGATTTACCAAAAAGCTACCATATGCATGGCAGTCAAATCTGTTTTATAAACCAAATGAGGAAAATGTGGCTCCTTGCCTTTTTTCCTCTTGAAAGTAAACACAGAAGCACAAAAATATGTTGACAATACTTAAGAGGTTGTGTTAGTTTCCTAGTGCTGCTGTAACAAATTGCCCAAAACTTAGTGCCTTAAAGCAACATGAGTTTCTTTTCTCACAGCTCTGGAGGTGAGAAGCCCAGAAGTGGGTGTCAAGGACCTAAAATCCAGGACCCCTTCTGGAGGCTCTGGAGCAGGATGTGTTTTGGCACTTTTTCCCCCTTCCAGAGGCTCCCTCCGCCCCTTGGCTTGTGGCCCTTTCTATTTTCAAAACCAATCATCACATCGCTTTTTTTTATTTGGACAGGCAGAGTTAGAGAGAGAGACAGAGAGAAAAGTCTTCCTTTTCTGTTGTTGGTTCACCCCCCAAATTGCTGCCACGGCTAGCGTGCTGCGCCCATCCAAACCCAGGTGCTTTTCCTGGTCTCCCATGGGGTGCAGGGCCCAAGCACTTGGGCCATCCTCCACTGTCTTCCCGGGCCACAGCAGAGAGCTGGACTGGAAGAGGAGCAACCGGGGACAGAACCCAGCGCCTTGACCAGGACTAGAACCCGGGGTGCCGGCGCCGCAGGCGGAGGATTAGCCTAATGAGCCGCGGCGCCAGCCCATGACATCGCTTCGACCTCTGCTTCTACGGCCACACCTCCTTCCCTCACTCTGACTTCCCTGTCTGCGCCTCCACTTACATAGACTCTTGCGGTAACATTGGACACACCTGGATTATCCAGACTACCCTCCCCACCTCAGGAGCGCAATCTAGCTGATTACATCTGCAAAGCCCCTTTCACTGTAACATGATACGTCCACAGGTTTTTGGACCTGGACATCTTGGGGGGGGGGGGGGGGGTCATTATTCAGCCTACCACTGAGAGTTAGATGATATGTTCTCTCACAAAATGTTGTTTATTGATCTATATATACCTTTTTTTTTTTATTTGGCAGGTAGAGTTATAGACAGTGAGAGAGAGAGACAGAGAGAAAGGTCTTCCTTCCATTGGTTCACTCCCCCAATGGCCGCTACGGCTGGCGCTGCGCCAATCTGAAGCCAAGAGCCAGGTGCTTCTTCCCGGTCTCCCATGGGGGGGCAGGGCCCAAGCACTTGGGCCATCCTCCACTGCCCTCCTGGGCCACAGCAGAGAGCTGGACTGGAAGAGGAGCAGCCGGGACTAGAACTCGGCGCCCATATGGGATGCCAGTGCTGCAGGCGGAGGATTAACCAAGTGAGCCACGGCGCTGGCCCCAATCTATATATACTTTAAAGAAAAGTTATAAGGTGAGAGAAGCAAAAAGGCTCTCAAAGTCAAGTTTTTTCCATACTATAACAATTCTCCATTTTTAACATTCCAGATCATGCTTTTAAGTACCTATGAGGAGAGGCGCTGTGAAGGAAGATAGAGAAAACAAACAGGATGCAGTCGATCAGAAGACAAGGGGGACGTGAGGACCAGAAGGCGTTTTTCTTGAAAAAGATTGTTATTTTCCTAGAAATACAGGTTTATGCCCTTTACAATGAATGATAACAGTCTTATCTGTATATCAGCTTAGTGCAAAGAAAATCAGATTGCCTTGCAAGAGATGGTAAAAGTCACCACACAAAAACACCCTACTATTCTTTCTTTAGCCAAGAGCTAATATGAAAAATGTGGGGTCAATGTGAAAGGAATCTGGTACTGTCAGAGACTCAACAAATGGGATTCTTTGTAAGTGATGCACTGTCCAGCTCAATTCCTGATATCAACTGCCTTCCAAATCATCACTGCACGAAACATCTGTTTCCTACAAGATTAGCACAAGCCAACAGAAATGTGCCTAGCCTGAAGGAAACAGAGATGGCAAAAATCAATTCTAATACTATTTACGGGAAGGAATTCAGATAAAACCTGGCCCAATTCATGAGAAATATTTCCAGTCTCCCTTAAGTGGACTTCCCTTGGGATACAGGCATTTTCGTGGTATCAGGGATGGGGTGGTAGCAGTGTATGCTTCTATTTCTATCCAATTAGTCTGGTAATGAAACAAACAAGTCAACATTAAATTAGTTAGACACAAAGCTTCTGCCAAAAGCAAACATAACCCAGACATCCCTGTCAAATCCTTTTACCATGAGTAACACAACAATCAAAATATTATAAATAAAATATGTCCAGGATCCAGCCAATGGCTCACACATTTCAAGGAATAATTGATGCAACAAAGCACCCAAATAAAATGAATTCAGACAATCCTTGGAGTTTATAATGGAATTCACTCTGCAGAGGTGGCTTTAAAAAGGGGGGGTGGTGACCTTTACTTGAACTACTTCATACTAAGATTTAGACAGCATAACTCTATCATCCAGTGTGCCTAATTACAGGCAGCTAAGACTGAAATCTGCAAATAAGAAGTGCTCTATAATACTTGAATTAATTAATTGCCTGGCACTGGACAGAGAAACCTCAAACTTTGGATTTGTCACATAATGCAAAAGGAGGCAGGGATGGAGGGAAAGAGAGAAAGAGAGAGAGAAGGGGGGAGAGAGAGAAGGGGAGAGAAAGAGAAGGGGAGAGAGAGAGAAGGGGAGAGAGAGAGATAGAGAGATAACGAATACCCTGTAACTGGAAGTGATGTCTTAGAAAAGACAGATTCTTTCACTTCATGGCTGGGTTTACAACAGACTTGTTTAAAGTACTTTACAGAGTCTCAAGGCTGACCGTGCATTCTAAGCTGCTTGCTTTTGAATACCTTCAAAAATGTTTTTGAAAGCAAATCTCAAGTTTAAATTTCATAATGACAAAGTAAACCACAAGCACAGCTTTGTAAATGGGCAGATACACAGTCTCTCATAAGGCAACATAGGGTGATGGCTAAGAGCAAAGCAAAAATGCACATGAACCATATACTTCTGCTGGTGGGGTCATGATGGAGAAACTGGTACCCCTTATACTGGTGATGGAAAGTGATTGCCTCTTAGGATTGCAACTTGACAATGCCTTTTGAAATTAAATATGCATATATACTTGATGTGATCATCCCTGGCAACCTGTCTCATCTAAATAAATCCCCATATGGGAAAAGACATGTACAAGGGTGTTCTTGGCAGTCTGCAGCAGCCAAGCTCTAGGAACAACTGAGTAACCATTGGTGGGGAACAGCTAAAGACATCGTAGTGAACCCACGAGTTGAATATCAGCATTGAAAGGAGCCATAGGAGTAGAATGGGAAGGAAATTAGATAGAAAAAGTATTTATCATACAATTCCATTTCAGTAAAAAGATGACAAGATAATCCTATATATGTATATATTTTCACAAAAAGAATATCAGGATAGAAAAAAATATGGAGAGAAATACAGCAAGATTTAAGTCAAGGTCATTGAGAGGAGGAACTGCTATGGGTGAATAAAGGAGCACAAGGAATCTGAGGGCAGCAAAAGCAAAATTCAAGGAAAAAAACATTGTGCTCGAAAGTCAAAGCACATGTGCTCCCGCTTGTACTGTTACAAAAATCATGGATAGTACAGGCATAGGTGTGAGTGAGTTCATCTAATATTTTCCCATACTTAAAAATAGCCAGAGTGAAAGAAAAAAAAGCACAAAAGAACAATATAATGGGCCCAAGGCTAATGCCCAATGACCTTGAGTATAATCATTTTTTAAAATAAAATTGGCTTTAAATACTTGGGAGTTTTCTAATGACTCTTCATTTGAATCAAATGTCAACTTAGAGGTGAGGTTTCTATAACAATATCTCTAGCAAGTAACACCTGTATCTCAATCAAGCACATGCTTGTTCGTAAGCAGCACAGGTCTGAATCTGCCTGCAAGAACACTGCGAGTCATCAGGTGCCAGAATCAGGAGATGGACACCTTACACGCCCTGCCTTGTCTGGTAAGTCTTTTTCGTGGCCTTGAGCAAGTAGTTAATGTGTTGGGCCTTAGTGTCCATACCTATAAATCAATGAGTGTGGCCCAATAGGTCTAGCTCTAATGTTGTGAGTCTCCCTTGATTTCCTTAACTTGGAAGGTGCCAACAGTATTTGCTAATTTAAACAATGTTAAACACAAAGGTCCAAGAACTTGGTGCTGAGCTTCAGAAACAAGCATGTTCCAGACAAAGCAGTCCTTTGTTTCCCATCCCTCCCCCTGATATGATTACTAAACTCCAGAACCCCTCATACCTTCAGGAATAGGCTGGGAATGCTTTGCTCCTTGGTCCAATTTGAAGTCCAAATATAAGGTTGGTGTGCGAGTAAAAACCTTGGACTACAAAGAAAAAGGAAACCATTAGCATTCTTGTAAGAATAAGGTTCTTTGCCTCAGCTGGGCCCTTCAATAACAGGCCTTGGCCTAGATCCATTATATTTATAGTCCCTCCTAGGGAGCTGTTAACTTTAACTGCTGTTAAAGGCCAGGTGGGCTACAAATACAGACCATCTTATGGGTATGGTCTAGAAGTTAGCCCTTCTACCTTTACAGTATGGTTGACAGGCTAATTTCAGGATAACAGCTGTCTCTCTATAGCTTTTTCTCAAATATGGACTAATGTTAATAATTTATTGCCCAATATTTGCTCCAACTTTCTAACTTCCAGCCTTCCACTTGAAATGGTAGGTTATCTCATATCCAAATGTGTGTATATATATATATATACATATATATACACATATATTACATATATATATGTTTTTAGCTTGGCCTCTTGTAAAAAACAGGATGTGTACCACTTCTTGCTTGAGAAATATACAACTTCAAATGCAAGAAAGGCAAACTTTTGCAGGATTTTCTGTTGCAGTGGTTTTGATTCCATCAATATTAAGTACAGTTTGTAATTCAATATAATGTCATCTTGAATCATTGATAGAGATCAATATCCAAAGGGTTAGCACTATTGCTATAAACTTTATGTCTCATTATTTATCACAAAGTCCAGTGGTTGCGTTCTATTTTTTAATTTACAGATAAACATGAAAATGAAAAAGCATATAACATTAAGTTTGGCAAGCATGTAGAGTAACTAGAGCTTTCATACATTTCTAGTAGGTCTGTAACTTGATACATACCCTTTGGAAAACTTCTTGGTATATGTAGTACAGATAAAAATAGGCATAATATAGGACACAACATTTTAACTCATTGCTTTATACCTAACACATGTGTAAGAATCTTAACAGTGCTGTTAATAATAGCTCCAACTGGACATATACCAAATGTTGTTAATAAAAAAGTGGATAAGAGGTTGGCACTGTGGCATAGGGGGTAAGGCTACTATGTGCAGTGCCAGCATCCCATATAGGTGCCGGTTCAAATCCTGGCTGCTTCACTTCCAATCCAGCTCTCTGCTATGGCCTGGGAAAGCAGTGGAAGATGGCCCAAGTCCTTGGGCCCCTGCATCCATGTGGGAGACCCAGAAGAGGCTCCTGGCTCCTGGTTTTGGAACGGCCCAGCTCTGGCCATTGTGGCCATCTGAGGAGTGAACCAGAGGATGAAAGACCTCTCTCTTTCTCTCTCTGCCTCTGCCTCTCTGTAACTCTGCCTTTCAAATAAATAAATCTTTTCTTTAAAAAAGAAAGAAAATGGATAAGTGAACTGTAACATATATATTTAGCCTGGGAAATAGTACAAAGCTAGGAGCACGCATGAAGACAACCACATGGAACAACTCAGACCAATCTCAGCAGCATAGCACTGAGCAGATGAAGGCAAGCAGAGAAGATCACACTCAGTATGATTTCATTTCTCTGAAGCTCACAACAAGCCAAACCAATCTGTGGGGTCAGTAGTCAGAAAAGTGGTTGCCTTGGGGAGGCTGCTAACTGCCAGGATAAAGGGGCTTCAGAGGGCTGGTAATGTTCTCTTTTCTTGGCATGACTGCTGGTTTCCTGGGGATGTTCACTCCGTAAAAACTCTGAGCTGTACACTTGCTTTGTGTACTTTAATGTGCATATATTGTATTCTATAAAAGACTTACATTCAGTAAAAACATTCATTTGTAAAAAGATAACAGATTTGTGAGCCTGCAATTATTTACTATCTTTAGATAAAGCATAATTTTACAAAAATAATTCATGTGAACTCCATGAGGACATGCACATCTCAGCTTTTTTCAACACCGAATCCCCAGGACTGACCCACAGTGTCAGGACCAACTCACAGTGTCCGTCACATAGTAGGTGTTCAATAAATACTTAGGGAATAATGCTGCATAATGGAAAATGCCATGTACTATTAATGCATTTGTTGACAGCATGAATAGATTTTGTCAACATCTTTACCTACATGCAGCAAAATGCCCCTCTTTAGGACAAGTGAATTTGGTAGGGTCAAAGTATGTTAAACATCGTGGAATAGAAAATTGTAAATAATGTTGACTATCAAAAGCTTTTTGCCCTTTCTAAGGATATCTTCTACTGAAGCTCTAGGCTTTAAAATGGTCTGGCAGATGGTTTTCCACAACTTAGAAGGTCAAGCTTCAAAGACCGGAAAAGAAAATCCCCCTGTGCCTACATAAATGAAACCAGAAAGACCTGTGACATCAAGTGCAACCTGAGGCCAAAGATTCACAATCAATCTGAAGAGCTTGAAACCTACACAAAGCAAGGGCAGCACACAAGAGACACAAGATCCGCTCCTCTCGCATCATTAGGGGTATAAGGCACCATCTGGAAAGAGACGGGTTTTGCCGGATGAAGACTTCTAAAATTACCTCTAAAAAGATCAAGGGTAAACGCTACATGCTATCAGATGACTCCTCTGCTTGCACAATATTTTGCTCTCCTTCAAACAAAGGACCCCTCTTTGGTTTAAGCATATTTCCTAATGGCTAGCCCAGCGGCAGTGGTAGCAAGCCTACCTACAGCAAACAGACTAATCACAGGGCGGCTCCTGGTTTCATTCTGACTAGCATCCTGAGAATGTGCTCATAAAACAATATTGAACTGGAAAGCAGGAGCCTCTGATGCTCCTACTGCTTCCCTGATGACTAGGAAAGCACTTACCAATTCTTCTGGGTCTAGTTCACGCATCTGAAATCTTGTGGGGGAACTTGCTGATGTTTAAGTCTACTTCAGGTTCCGAAACGCTAAGTCAGAAATTAATGTTTTCCTCCCCATTCATTTTTTAATTTATTTTTATGGGTTTTTTTTTTTTTTGAGGGAGAGAGCGAGCGAGCGAGCAAAAAATCCCATCTGCTGGTTCACTCCCCACATGCCTGTAACCTCCAGCTGAAGCTGGGAGCCAAGAACTCCATCCAGGTCTCCCACATGGGTGGAGGGACCCAAGCACTTGAGCCATCATCAACGCCTCCCAGAGTGCTCATTAGCAGGGAGCCAGAATCTCGAGTGGAACCAGGACTCGAACCCAGGCATTACAATATGGGCTATGGGAATCTTAAACAGTTACTTAACCACTAGGCCAAACATCCATCCTCCCATTCTAATTTTTAAAATCTCTTTCTGATTTCTCTGATTAGAGCTGTACAGAAGTGAGGGAGGGGGCAACTGGAGCCGCAGGAGGTGAGTGGGGAGCTGCTGGTTAACTTTATTCTTGCCCTTAACATCAGTCATCAATCTTGCCCTCGTGGTCGGCTGGCTCTCTTCCCCCCTTTCTTCGTGCCTCTGGCCTCTCAAGCTAATCCATGTTGTCCAAACACTAGTAACCTGCCTCTCCAGGACTACAGCTCCACGGATACCCAAGGCCAGGTGCATATACACACACAGAGCACTCTGTATTCACTTAACATTTTTAAACAAAAACCAGTGAAAGATTTTATAAAGCCTCAAACATATTCTATTCTCTTAAAGTGTAAAAAAGGCTAAAGAGAACATTTTAATACATTTGGAGGTGTTTTTCACAACATGATTCTAAAACCCTTTTTGCCTTAAAATTAGATCATCGAGGATTTCAATATAACAGAGCTTGAATAATCAACTGCCCAAAACTAAATATGCATTATTCTATTTTAATTAATCTATAGTGAGATAAAACTCAATTTGGAGTGTGTATAGGTATATATATATGTCTACAGATATATTTTTATGAAAAGCAGGGAGATTTTCAAAAAATTATTTTGATCTTCCATGGTAACTAATAACTCTGCTGAAATAACAAATATAAATTTGCCTAGCCTCAAATGCACTTGAAAACAAACCTGGATTTAGCTTTCCTATTGCACACACTGTTGATTTTCTCTTTTTTTTTTTTATTTATTTGACAGGTAGAGTTACAGACAGTGAGAAAGAGAGAGAGAGAGAGAGAGAAAGGTCTTCCTGCCGTTGGTTCACTATCTAAATGGCTGCTATGGCTGGAGCTCCTCCAATCCGAAGCCAGGAGCCAGGTGCTTCTTCCTGGTCTCCCATGTAGGTGCAGCGGCCCAAGCACTTCCCTGGCCACAGTTGAGAGCTGGACTGGAAGAGGAGCAGCCGGGACTAGAACCGGCGCCCATATGGGATGCCGGCGCCACAGGCAGAGGATTAACCAAGTGAGCCACGGTGCTGGCCCCCACACTGTTGATTTTCAAACACAAAGAAATATCACCACAAAACACATCCTTTCCTGTTTTCTACATTGTTTGTTTTTATGTATAATATTAAACTATTAATAGGCCCTTAAAATGGAATGACAATTTAATTAAATCATTCTTTGTGATTAAAAGTTAGCTATCAATGTATCTATTTCCACAGGATTAAAATAAATTAGTCCATGACAACCCAAAATAAAATATCTCACTTTAAATCTGTTTGAGAATAGAGAGAACTAATGCACTTAAATTCCATCAGTGAAATAGTTCTCTTTTTCCATTTTTTTCATTTGAGTCCTGATTAGGAATGCCTGCAGAGACACTAAAACCCAAAGTCATTCCTGTGTCTTCTTTCTTCCTGCTGCATAGCTCTGTTGAAAGTATTTATGAAATGTTCCTTTAAAGGTTAGAGCCTATATTTGAAAACCCTAAGGGCTTAAAATCTTATGGTTCAAATATCATGCAGGCAAGCTTCTAGAAGGTAAGTAATGGAACTCTTCATGAGAGGTTATGCGTAAATTCTGACTAACCTACAAGAACAGGTGTGCTACCAATCCAGGAAAGCCTCGTCTCTCCTTCTCTATAAAGCTGTCAGAACTACACCCTGGCGGGGCCTCAGACACCACTACAGTAATGAGCACAGATCAAGCTCTATAAAACCACTTCCTTCTGAACACCAAGCACCTTCATCTTCTGTCCTTCAAAGACTTCCCCTGTACCTGCCTTCTGGTAGGACACCCTTGTCAAG